GATGGATAGAATATGTTCAGAAGAAGTATGGAACTATAAAGTTTCACTTATTTTATGAGTAATGAATTTGTTTATAAACTTATGATGTTAAAGTTTGAAGAGAGTTAAGGGTTAGTATGATTTTGGTTATTGTATAATTAGTAAACTTAAATAGATTATGTTTAATATGTTTGTACAACCCTGTACTTGGCTCTGGAAGTCGGGGGGGAGGGGGGTGGGGGGAAGATGGGTTCAAGTTTAAGTAGCTCAGATAAGTAGAAATAGTTTTATTGTATATAATATTGATGTTTTAATCTGGAGAGAGGAATTGCTCGGGCATTTCCCCTGAACCGCATCTGGAGCGAGAAGATAGGAAGAAGGGGAGAAGCAAGTAGGAAGGGTGAGGAGGAGGAGGAGAAGGGGAGAGTGAGGAAGAGAAAGAAGAGGGAAAGAGAGAAGTAGGTTAGAGGGTGGATGCGGTTTGGGGGGAAATGGGTGAGCAATACCGAAGGTTGTGTGTATCAATTTGCTTTATTCTTTATCTGAAGTATTTTTATGAATGTAATGTATTGTAAAACTGAAAATAAATTTTTTTTTTACAAAAAAAATATCATTTTTCCACACTAGGCAAATACAATTCTTACTACTATTAATACCCATGCCATTAAATATAAACATCTTCATCCCATTTTCCTAATATTATACATAATATCAATTTATAATATCTTCTCTTAGCCAAAACATATCTCAGATGTATTTGCAATCAAAGTTCCCTTATTCAATATGTATCCTGTTTTTTTTTCTTCTTGTTCTATTTTAATTTCCCTTCAATATTCAAAATAATGTTATCGATTATCATTTTTCTCATAGTTAATTACATTTGGGTAACTAAAAGTTTCCTTCATACCGACCCACTTAGTATTTTCATATTTCCCATCTTATAAAAAATTATGTTGTCCTCGTTACAAATCACATCCTTCTAGTTTGTAGTGGTCTTTTTATCTCTATCAATTGTCTATTTTTTTATTCATATTCAAATCCCTTAGATAGTATCATACCTCATCCAATTAGTCAGGACCTCTATTTTCTTCAGTCTTACTCTAGCTTTCTTCCTTTGCCAAATAACTTTCCAAGTCAGTATATTTAGATCACCAAGTGTTTCTTCCTCTGTTTCTCTATGTATTATTTGGAATTTAAAAAAAGACAATTTAATTAAAGTAAAAACACTTAATTCCTTTATATTCAGACAGACTATTTTTATTCATAAAACATAGAACACAGAATAACAGAGTTGGAAGGGACCTTGGAGGTTATCTAGTCCATCCCCTTGCTCAGGCAGGAAATCCTACACCATTTCGGACAAATGGCTGTCCAGTCTCTTCTTAAAAACTTCCAGGGTTGGAGCATTCACCGCTTCTGGAGGCAGGTTGTTCCACTGGTTAACTGTTCTGTCAGGAAGTTTCTCTTTAGTTCTAGGTTGCTTCTCTCCTTGATTAGTTTCCATCCATTGTTTCTTGTCCTGCCCTCAGGGGCTTTGGAAAAGAGGTTGATCCCGTCTTCTTTGCGACAGCCCCTCAAATACTGGGACACTGGCTTGGGTTTCCATCCTGCTTCACCCCTTGGGTTTAGCCCCTCATGGAAAGCCACCCCTTACCCACCACACCCTCTTCCCCCGCTCCCTGCAGACAATGATCAGGTGACAGGATTCATTGGTTCAGCCAGGAGATTGGCTGCTTTCTTTCTCTCTGGCAGATATTCTCCAGGACCCCCAAGAAGGATGTTCTCCATGGTGCTGCCCTGAGATTTTGCCACCATCCAGGAATAGATCTCTCTGCCCCTCCCCCCCAGCAATCCCTGTATTTGGAGGTTGAAAGAGCCCCAAGAAATGTAAAGGTCCTAGTATCAGGAACCATAATTTTTTTGTCTTTAGTTAATTTACTTTCCCAGGAATGGGGAGGGGTTGGGGGTGCCATCTTCATGTCCTTTGCTTCATGCGCTGTCTGGGGCACTGTACTTCTTTGCTCCTTGACTTACACACCTGCGCAATTTCACATCTGTTGCTGCTGCACCAACCTCAGAGCCTGAAACCGCCAAGGGAGGCTCTTAAAGAGAAATGAGAGGGCAACAGATGGAGAGAGACGGCACAGGTGTTCCTCACCAAAGCTGAGAACAGCCATGGTTAGCAGCTTCATGGAGGTTAACTAGAGTGGGGAGGGGCACAAGAGGAGGGGCTTCTTCCAGGGGGTTAGGAAAGTCCCACCCTGGGCCTCTCTCCTCCCCATAGCATCCTTCCATAAGCAGGACATCCAGAGTTTATTGAGGGTTCCTGTAGACCAGGTTGATCCAGGATAAGATAAGATGAAGCTCCGCTTCATTTGGAACACGGAGCTGTGCTGTGAAGGGCTTTGGAAGGCAATCACACACACACACACACACACACACACACACACACACACACTCAAAACCACACTTGGAGGACTTTTCCTTCCCTCTGCCTTAAGATCTCCCCCCTTCTGGGCTTGCTGGTTTGTACACCTGCCATTCCCCCCCCCCCCAATGCTTCCAGGAAGGTAGGGGGACAAGCCTTTTTGGGCACCTGATACCTCTAGAGCAGTGTTTCCCAAACTTGACAATGTTAAGGCATGAGGACTTCAACTCCCAGAATTCCACAGCCAGCAACGCTGGCTGTGGAATTCTGGGAGTTGAAGTCCACATGCCTTAACATTGTCAAGTTTGGGAAACACTGCTCTAGACAGTCTCCAGGGGCAGCCCCAGGAACAACCCTGCCTGGCAGTCTAAGCTTCTGGGGATTTTCCAGCCCAAGAACCTTTTTTCCAGCTTCTCTTTCTCAAAAGTCTCACCTCTGCACAATAAGCCACAATTATTGGTGGGATGGTTTACCTTTTTTGTTGTGCACAGCACTTAAAGGATTACATCCACACCAATATTCTTTGACTCTCACTCTCTCCCGCTCCCTGAGTGTTTGGTCACAGTATCTATTAGATAGATACTGCATTATAGAGAGGATCTGCAATGCAAGGAGAAGCAGCTAAACCTCGTGGGGGGCTAAGCCCCCCTCCCCTCCCCCCAAGACCTTAAGGGGATTTGCCCCAGGTGAGCCCCTCCCCTCCCCCCAAGACCTTAAGGGGATTTGCCCCAGGTGAGCCTTTCCTAGAGATTGTGGCTTTGCGACCATAAATCTCCCAAAGAGGAAAAGGAAAGAACAGAAGACTCCAAGAGGGGAAGCAGAAGGGGACAGGAGGGATGGAAAGGAGGAAGGGAGGAAAGGGGAAGAGGAAGGGGAGGGGAAGAGGAAGAGGAAGAGAGGAAAGGGAAAGGGGAAGGGGAGAAGGAAGGGGTAGGGAAGGAGGAAGGGAGGAAAGGGAAGGGGAGGGAAGGAGAAGGAAGGGAGAAAGGGGAAGGGAAGGAGGAGGGGAGGGAAGGAGGGAGGGAGGAAAGGGAAATGGAGGGAAGGGAAGCGGAAGGGAACGAGGAAGGGAGGAAAGGGAAGGGGGAAAAGGGAAGGGAAGGAGAAGGGAGGGAGGAAAGGGGAGGGGAGGAGGAGGGAAGGGAAGGGGGGAGGAAAGGAAAGGGGAAGGGAAAGGGAAGGGGAAGAGGAAGGGAGGAAAGGGGAAGGGGAGAAGGAAGGGGTAGGGAAGGAAGGGAAGGAGGAAAGGGAAGGGGAGGAAAGGAGAAGGAAGGGAGAAAGGGGAAGGGAAGGAGGAGGGGAGGGGAGGGGAGGGAAGGAGGGAGGGAAGAAAAGGAAGGAGGGAAGGGAAGCGGAAGGGAACGAGGAAGGGAGGAAAGGGAAGGAGAAGGGAGGGAGGAAAGGGGGGAAAGGGAAGGGAAGGAGGAAGGGAGGAAAGGGAAGGGGAGGGGAGGAGGAGGGGAGGGAAGGGAAGGAGGAAGGGGGGAAAGGGAAGGGGGAAAGGGAAGGGAAGGAGAAGGGAGGGAGGGAGGAAAGGGGAGGGGAGAAGGAGGGGAGGGAAGGAGGGAGGAAAGGAAAGGGGAAGGGGAAGGGGAGGGGAAGAGGAAGGGAGGGAAGGAGAAGGGAGGGAGGAAAGGGGAGGGAGGGGAGAGGAGGAGGGAAGGGGAGGGAAGGGAAGAAGGGAGGAAAGGGGAAGGGAAGGGAAAGGGAAAGGGAGGAAAGGGAAGAGGAAGAGGAAGGGAAGGAGGAAGGGAGGGAAGGGAAGGGAAGGGAAGGAGGAAGGGGGGAAAGGGAAGGGGGAAAGGGAAGGGAAGGAGAAGGGAGGGAGGGAGGAAAGGGGAGGGGAGAAGGAGGGGAGGGAAGGAGGGAGGAAAGGAAAGGGGAAGGGGAAGGGGAGGGGAAGAGGAAGGGAGGGAAGGAGAAGGGAGGGAGGAAAGGGGAGGGAGGGGAGAGGAGGAGGGAAGGGGAGGGAAGGGAAGAAGGGAGGAAAGGGGAAGGGAAGGGAAAGGGAAAGGGAGGAAAGGGAAGAGGAAGAGGAAGGGAAGGAGGAAGGGAGGGAAGGGAAGGGGGAAAAGGGAAGGAAAGGGGAGGGGAAGGGAGGGAGGAAACGGAAGCCAAGGGAGAGTCCCCTGGAGCTCTTGCCGAAAGTCTTATCCAACAAACGAACACGGGATTCTCCTATTTCTAATCACAAAATGCCCGTTCACGGAACACGCGTCCCCAGCTCGTCTGCCTGCTAACCTTGGCTGCTGGTCATCCTCTAGTCCAGAGCGGATCGCCGCGCATGGAGGGGCCGCCTCCGGCTAGGACCCCCCCCCTTCCTGGGGGTGGAGAAAGAGAGAGAAAGAGAGCGGCGGAGTTTCGCGGACACGCAGACTTTGCACCGGGGGGGGGGGGGAGGAGAATCTCGGGTGTTTCTCCTCCTCCTCCTCCGGGATCTGACTCGTGAAGCAAGGGACAAGCCCAGCCTACCTCACAGAGTTCTTGTGGGCACCAATGGGGAGAAATGCTTTGGTGATCTTTGGAAAAAAAGGGGCGGGGACAAAAGGTGCCAGGCGTGAGTGAGGCCATCAGGACGGGACCCGGACCGGCGCGGCGCCTGAGCGGCTTTTTCCCCGAGCGGACGGGGGGGGGCGCCTGGTTGGAGGCCGATGCCGCTGCCCCGGGCGCCCCTCTTGCTCCTGGGAGTTGCGTTGGGGTCCTTCGTGCTCGGGGCTTTGTGCGGTGAGTGTGCGACGGGGAGGAGGCGCCTGTCCTGGGCCGGGTCTTTCTCTCCCCCATTCCCCCCCCCCTCAATCCCAAACTCTTTTTCCCAGAAGGGAAAAAAACGTCTTCCATCTCTCGCGCTTCAGCCAGCCTCGTTTCCAACCTTTAGTAACTGATTTGTAAACGGCTCCCGTTGTGGAGAATAGGGAATAAAAGTGAAGAGAGAAATTTCAGACTTTAGTAAGGTGACCAACTTTTTTACAGCAAAAAGGAGGACACGAATAAATTTAAGAAAAAAATATCGTAAATAAAAGAAACATTGTATTTATTGCAACAATAATACAGAATACACTATATGCATAACAAAAAACATTTGTAACAATAACATTTTATATTGTAATTATGCTTACATGCCTATTAATTATTTAAATGAGTACTTTTTCCATTGAATGAATATTTTTTGTCAATGTATCATCTTCTAACAATATATTGGAAATATCTGAACAAGAAATATCCTTCATATTGAATTTTACGGCAAGCGCTGCAGCTAGATTATCAATATTCAATCTCGATTGCTCACTTGTCCAAAAATCTACATGGCTGGACTGCACGGGGGTGGGCGGCGGAGGCAGGTGTTGTGAGCCAGGCGCTCCAGGATGGCCATGTAGATGCGCAGGGTGAGGTGGTGGCAGTGCAGGTCAGCACTGCGTAGACCACCAGCTGGCGCAGCCCATGGAAGGTCAACTGGCCGCTGCGCCCCCACCCACAGCCGCCCCGCCAACACTGCTACCCTGCCGTGGAGAGCCGGCCCTACGGCTCGCAAAGCACCAGCCGCGCCAGCTCCGGCCCTGCAGCTGCCCCCCAGCACCATCGCCCCCCCTGCACATCCCCGTAGAGCAGCGGTTCTCAACCTATGGGTCGCGACCCCATTTGGAGTCAAACGACCATTTTAGGGGGGTCGCGAAACAACGCGATCTGCCATTTTCCCCCTCGGGGGCGTGGCCGCGCATGTGCGCCGCACATGGGGGCGTGCCACACATGGGGGTGGTGCCATGCATGCGCGCTGCACATGGGGCAGTGCCATGCATGCGCGCTGCACATAGGGCGGTGCCGCACATGCGCGCTGCACATAGGGGCGGTGCCGCGCATGCGTGGCGTGCATAGGGGTGGCGTCGCACATGGGGGCGGTGCCACGCATGCGCACCGCGCATGGGGCGGTGCCACACATGCGCACCGTGCATGTGGGCAGTGCCGCGCATGCGCGCAGTGCATGGGGGCAGTGCCGCACATGCACGCCGCGCATGGGGGTGCCGCCGTGCATGTGCGTCGCCCCCGCGCATGCGCGGCGCAGCCATGTGACGGGGTCGCCGTCACAAGAAGATTGAGAACCGCTGCCGTAGAGCCAGCCCCACAGCTTGCAAAGCACCAGCCGCGCCGGCTCTGGACCTGCAGCCGCCCCCTAGCTGCTGCAGATTAGTCGTCAAAAAGAGGACATTTAGGAGGACATTTTCGAGAGAGGACAGAACTCACAAAAGGAGGACTGTCCTCCCAAAAGGAGGACGGTATATGGAAAAGGAGGACATTTAGGAGGACACTTTTCAAGGGAGGACAGAACCCAAAAAAATCACCTAACTTTAGCCCTCCATGAGCTCTTCCTTCCTTTCTGCTCCTGACTGGGCAATGGGCCAGGTCCTGCCATCCACTCCACTCTGATCAGCAACCTTTGTCCTTGCTTGGAAAGGCTTCCTCTCTGGGGAACGTTCAGGTCTTTGACTTCTTGTCAACTTCCATGCAAACAGGGCCTCCCTGGTTCTTCCCAAGTGTGGTCTGGGGTCGCTATGGAGGTCGGGCCTACAGTCTGGGAACCTGGAGGGCCCAGAGGGGGTGCAGGAATATCTAAGCCAGATGGGGAGACCCACTTGTTGGGAGGGCTGCTGTGTGACAATAAGATGTTGGAGGGGATGAAATTGCAGTGAAACCCCCCCCCCCAATTCTTCTCCTCTCCCTCCTCCCTCTCCAGGCTCTCCCTCACACTCCCTGAGATACTTCTACCTGCATCTGCCAGAGCCCAGCCAGGGGCTGCCTCAGTTCTCCATTAGGAGCTACCTGGATGACCAGCCCATCGCTCACTATAACAGCCACACCAGGAAGATGGAGCCTCTGGTGCCCTGGATGGAGGAGGGGGACAAGGAGAACTTTCTGGCCCCTGAGAGGGTCTTCAGGGCTGACCTGGAGAAGTTATCAAAACTGGACCACCGTGCTGGAGGTGAGCAGGGGCAGGGCCACCTTTGGCCTCCAATGGTTGCAGAGGACTTGAGATTTTCTTTCCTGCAAAGGAAACACACACAGAGAGACACAAACACACACCTGGTTTTCTCCCTCACCTAGAAATTCTTTTTTTTTTTAACAAATATTTTATTAAGTTTTATCAGGGTAAAAGAGGAATAAGTTCAAGAAAGTTATAACAAAGGAAAACATACAGAAAGGTTACACCAAAGAAAGGGCTAAGTACAATAGTGGAGTTATTCCCCACAATACATCATCACTTCAGCAAGTAGACCCATCCAGGTATACATATTAAATCTTAATAATTAATCTAATGTTAAACAGCTTACAATAACTAATTTTATCTATAATCATATAAATCACAAGTTAGTCAATACCTCTCATTCGTTTTACTAAATAACAATGCTTAATATAATATTGCTAACATATTACTAATTAGTTGTAGTAACTTTAAAATATTACTATATTACTTATTAGTTATAATTTACTTATTATTAATATCACAAATAAGAAAAGGAAGAAAAATTCCTAGGAATAAACATGAAATATAAGTACAAATTATCAATTATCCCTTTGAGTTTCATAACGTTTTCTCATTCTATCACGTTGCTAACCCTTGGTAAAATTTTTCCCATGTTTTAAAGTAAATTGTATCTTCTTTCTCTTTCATTTCTAAAGTTAATCTATCCATTTCTGCCCATTCAAGTTTTTTTGTCATTATAATCTAATCAGATGGTAGGTTTTCATTTTTCCAAAATTGAGCAAATACTATTCTCGCAGCTGTTAACACATGTAATATTAGATACTCATTCTCTTTTACATAATTCAGACCTAATATTCCTAGCAAACACAATTCTGATTTAAATTCTACCTGTATTTTAATCATCTTTTCTATCCACGTATGAATCTTAAACCAAAATTTCTTAGCATTAGGTCATATCCACCAGAGATGGTAATAAGTGCCTGGTTTTTGTTTACATTTTCAACACATATTTGATACATTTTAAAACATTTTCTCTAAGCTAACTGGTGTCATATGCCATCTATAAAACATTTTATATAAGTTTTCCTTATATGCAGCTGCTTTAGTAAATTTAATATTTTTGCCAATCTTCTAAGTCTATAGAGTGACCAAAGTTCCTTGCCCAACACTATCATTGTTTCTTTCACTTGTTGTTCTTCCATCTTCCAATTTAACAAAAATTTATAAAGTTTCTTAATCAAATTTTCATCTGTTTTCAAGAGTATTTTATCTAATGGTGTCTGTTCTTTGTAGAATCCCATTAATTTTGCATCTTTTTCGTATCTTGTTTGAATTTGCAGATATGACCACCATGTTAAATCGATACCATGTTCTCGAAAAGCTTGTCTAATAAGTTTTCCTTCTTTATCTAAAATGTCTTTATACACAACAAGTTTATCATAATTAAATTCGGATACGCAAATGCTTCCATTGTTAAAAGCCACACAGGTATTTTCATATAGATTTTATTTTTAATTCTCTCCCACTCTGAGAGTAATATGTTCCTTATAGCATGAGTTTGAAAGTATTTATGTACTTTATTTTTCTCATACCATAAGAAAGCATGCCAACCCAGTTGCAAATCATGTCCCTCTAAATAAAGAAGTTGTTTATTTCTCAGTGTAATCAGTGTAATCCATTCTTTAAGCCAAAGCAAAATAGCAGCTTGATAGGGAGCCCAAAGCTCCCTCTGTCTTTTGATTCTTGTAACAGTTTAATTTTAATTCTTGCTTTTTTTCCTTGCCATATAAATCTTGTTATTGTTGCATTTAAATCATCCAAAAATTTCTGGCTTAATTTGACAGGAACCGTCTGAAATAAAAATAGTAGTTTAGGTAAAATATTCATCTTAACAGTCGTTATCCTTCCTAACAGTGATAGTTGAAAGTTTTTCCACTTTTCCAAATCTAGTTTTATTTGTTTCAATAGTCTTTCATAGTTGTCTTCTTTTACTGCGGTATATTTTGATGTTAAGTAAATACCTATTTTTTTATATTTTTTTAGCTATCTGGAGATTTGTTTTTTTAACAAGTTGAACTTTCTGTTTTTCTGTTAGATTTCTTGTAAGTACTTTAGTCTTTTCCCTATTTATTTTCAGCCGAGCCACTTCTCCAAATTCCTCTATTTTCTGCAACAGTTTAGTGGCTGTTTAGACCAAATCATCTGCAAAAGCCTGTAGTTTATATTTCTGATCTTTTATCTCCAGCCCTTTAATCTCCACATCTTGTCTAATATTCCTGGACAATAAGAGAATAAATAGCAAGGGAAACAGTGGGCATCCCTGTCTTGTACCTTTTTTTAATATTGAAGTTATCTGTATAGTCTCCGTTTAGTCTCTCTTTGCAGACTGTTTATTGTAAATTGCTTCGATTGCATTTATAAAATTTTCACCAAAGTCCATCACTCGCAGCTGTTGAAACAAAAATTGCCAATTAAGATTATCAAAAGCTTTTTGCGCATCCAAAAATATAAGTGCCATTTGTTTCCCCAGATGCTTTTCATAATATTCCAGCACATTTAAAATAATCCATAAATTATTCTTTATCTGTCTTTTAGGAAAAAAACCATTTTGGTCTGAATGGATAAATTCATTCAAAAATTTCTTCATTCTTTCCACTATTATTGCTGTAAATATTTTATAGTCTACATTTAATAGTGATATTGGCCTGTAATTTTTAATTTCTTTGAGATCAGTATCGTCTTTGAGTATAAGGGAAATATTAGCTTCTGTCCAGGAATTTGGTATTTTCATCACCGAAAAGGTTTCATTACAAAGATCTTTCAGTATCGGGCTTATTATGTCTTATAAGGCTACATAGAATTCCACTGGGAGACCATCAGGTCCTGGAGTTTTATCTTTTTTTCCCCCTTTTTATTGCCTCTGTAATTTCCATCATTGTTATTTTCTCGTGCAGCATATGTTGCATGTTCTCTGATATCTTTGGGAGGTTCGCTTTTCTTAAATACTCCTGTATTGCCTCCTTAGAAACCACCTCCGCCTTGTAAAGTGTCTCATAATAAGCTTTAGCAATTTTTTCCAGTGCATCGTTATGACAGTGTATTTCACCTTTTGAATCTTGTAGTTTACTTACAATATCATTTTTTTCTCTTTCTTTTTTCAGTCTATATGCAAGCCATCTTCCTGGTTTATTGGCATTTTCAAAGAAATTCTGTTTTGAATGTTTTATCTGTTGTGCCCTTGTCTCCATCTCCAATAAATTTAATTTATGTTTTATTAATTCCATTTGTGTCTTCAGCTTCTTCTTTTGTGGATCATTTTGTAACTCAAATTCTAAATTTCTAAATTGTTCTTTCAACTTAAGCTGTGTTTGTCTCTTTTCTTTATTCTTTTTAGCAAGGTAAGTTATAGCCAAATCTCTAAAATAAACTTTTGCAGTGTCCCAAACATTTTGAACAGAGGTTTCTTCTTTCTTATTTAAAAGAGATTTCCATTTCTTTCGTTGCAAATTCTTTTTCTTTCAGTATAGATTTATTCAATGACCATCTTAGTTTTTTCCTAGCTCCTTTCAGAGTCACTTTAATTGGATTATGATCAGCCCAAATATTAGGTTCAATTTCCACCTCTTGTATCATAGTCTTTAAATCATATGAAGTCCCTATCATATCAATTCTTGATCAGGATTTATGCCTATTTGAATAAAATGTATATTGTGCTTTCTCTGGATTCATTTCTCTCCATATGTCTTGTATACACGATTCATCTTTCATCTTTAAAAAAGACTTAGGTAAAGTATTTCCCCCTTTTTTCCTTTGTTTGTGGCTTTTATAATCCCATATTGTGTTGACTATTACATTAAAATCACTGAGTATGCAAAGATTTTTGTAATTTAATTCCACTAGTTTATCATATAATTGCTGAAAAAACTGATCCTGCTTCTTGTTGGGAGCATATATCGCAACCATCAAAATTTGTTTTTGATCCCATGTAATTTCCACCATTAATATTCTCTCTTCTTCATCAACATAAATTTGTTTTGGGTTCATCTTTTCTTTTATATAAAATGCTATTCCTCTTTTCTTTTGCTGTGCTATCTTTGGTTGTTCTAAAATTCTGGAGTGTTGTCTTTTAATATGTGTCTCCTGAAGACAAATTATGTCCATTTTCAATTTTTGTAATCTGTTAAGTATTTTACACCTTTTTGATGGGGAGTTAAGACCATTTATATTTATTGAAAAAAAATCCAATCTCTTTCATAATTTCAATTGTATCTAGACCTCAGTCTTCTGGGGGAGCTTATCTGTCTCAGGTCTTTCAGTCTTACATCTTCCTCTGATTGCATCTGTTTTGATTCCCCCTCCTCCAATTGTTTTGGTACTCCTGCACCCATCGTCTCTTCTGGTTTCTTGGGTTCAAAGTCGCCTTTTTCTAAAAAGGCTCTGTGATTGTTAAAAAATTCCTCTGCTTGGAATGGAGTATCTATTCTGTATCTTTTCAAGTCCCAGAAGATTAATAATCCTTCTGGGACCAGCCATCTAAAATTCACTCCCTTATTAAAGAGTTTCCTCATTAAAAATTGATATTCTCTTCACGCTTCTCTTATCCTTGTGGGAATCTGTTTAAGAACTACAAGTTATTTATCTTTATATTTCAGTGGCTGATCTCTTATTGCTCTCAAGGTCTCATCACGTGTAAATCTTTTGAGAAATCTTACATGGACCTCCCTAGGAACTCTGTTTCTTCTTACATAGCTTGAATTGATTCTGAAAACCTGATCTAGTTCTCTTTTCATTTGATCCATTTCCATTGCAAGCAATTCTGCTAATAATTCACTCATCAATTCCAACAAGTTCTCATCTTTCTCTTCTACAATATTTTGAAATCTTAAAAAGTGTGATGCATTATCCATCTCCATCACTGCCATGCTGCCTCCAGTCCCACGTTAGTTTGTGCCAATCTCTGATTTTCCTGTTGCAACACTTCAATTTTCTGATCGACCACCACTGACTTATCTTCTATTTTTTGCATTCTTTGTTGAGTATCTGCCATCACCTGTTGAAAGGTTTCCATTTTTTTGATCCATTTTAAGATCATTTTTCAAATCTCCATAATTTTTTTCCAAATCTTTTTTCATTTCCATTTTCAGATCATCAATATTTTTGGTTTGAGCTAAAATTGCTTGGAGTATTGCTTGGGTGTCTTTCTGTTGAGATTCTTGTTGTAGAAAAGTAGTGATTGATTTCTGAGGAGCTGGACTCACCGAGGTTGAAGCGGGGGCCGAAGCCCTTCCTCGCCCCTTTAGCTAAATTTGAAGCACTCATCTTCTGATTGTTGTACTTATTTATAATTCACCAAGGAGCCTGGTGGCTAATTATAATCCACCAGGTAGCCCGATGGCCAATTATAATCCAATGCCCTCCTATTACCAGGAGACAAGCGTAGTTTAAGCAAAAAATTAGAACAAATCCTTTAGGGGAATAAAAAAAAATCCTGCATAACCATCCAAAAAAGGAGCAGGAATAAAAAAAAATTGGAAAAAGTGAACAACCAAAAAAAAAAAAATCTCAAAAAAGAAATAGTAAGAGATTTATCTCTAAAAGGCAAGATAAAAAAATCTAACCCTCAAGAAAAGAAAAAAGAGGAGACTTCAAATAAACAGCCAAAAAATAAAATAAAATAAAATAAAAATAAAAGTTGTCAAGAGAAGAGGAATAATATCCAAGTTATAGTCCAATTAAACTTTATCTGTAGCCAGAATAGAAAAAAAGCCAAAAGAAAAAAATTCCCTTCTTCTTTTGTATTTTCCCTTGCTATGGGGAATGAACAGCTAACTAAGAAGTCAGATAAAGAGCTGAACAATCTCTCTCAGTAACTTTTAAAGAGAGATAAAAATGTCTGGGCATGCAGCCAAATGTCTGGGCATTGAGCCAAGTTCCATAGCTGAATACACAAAGTTAGCCACAGAGAACAAAGAGAAGAGGGGGAAAAAGTGCTACAATATAACCACCAGGGGAACTCTGATTCTTTCCCAGGCATTTTTTTAAAAGTATTCAGAGTGAAAACAGTTTTAAAGTTTTTAAAAAAGGAAAAATAATTAGGATGGCTTTCCAAATAAATTATCCTTTATTTTTTAGATTTCTGCAACCAAAGACAAACTTTAAAATAGTCCCAATTAAATTTCTTCCTTAGCAATGGAGTCGCTTAGAACGCTGCCTGTGCGGGAGGGAGGAGAGGCAAAAACCCTCCTCCTTCCTCCTCCAAGCTTCCAGCTTTCCATTAAAGATAGGCTATTTCCACCCAAAAATCCACTTTCCACCAAGAACAGAAAATAGTCTCACCAGACCAGCTGCTTGCTGTCAAAATCAGCTGTTTTCTGTTCCCACGATCAGCTGTTGGTAGCGGCTCACATAAATGTGATCTGCCTTTCTCTTGCTGGTTCCAGGGCAGCCACCCCTCCAGGGTGGCTTTTAGCCCAAATGGGCTCGCCAGCAAAGGAATTTCGGACCCGGGGAACAGATGATCACTCCCCAGAGTCTATATCCAGTGATGACACCGGAAACACTCCCTCACCTAGAAATTCTTCATGGTCTGACGTCAGCCAAACAGGGTTAATTGAAGTAAAAGATCTTTCTCCTTGTGTGATAAAGAGGGGAAGGAGAAATCTGATTTCTCTCCCCAGGTGGGAAGGGGGGAAGACTCTAAGGGTGTCTAGGGAGAAGAATCCTGGACCCTTTTCATTCCCACCCACCCCCTCTGCCTCTCCTTCAGGGCTTCACACCTGGCAGGTGATGTTGGGCTGCGAGCTCATGGAAGATAGGGGCAAAGGAGGGTTTTTCCGCTACAGCTATGACAGGATGGACTTCATCAGCTTCGACAAGGAGGCCCTCACTTGGGTGCCGGCTCAGCCCCAGGCCAGGAAGCTCAAGCGGAAGTGGGAGGATGACCCAGGATGGTCTGAGAGAAACAAATTCTTCCTGGAGGAGACCTGCATTGAGTGGCTGCAGAGATACCTGTCCTGCAAGAATAAGACTCTGCAGAGGATCGGTGAGTGGCAAAGGGGGGTCTCCATTGAGCATGTTTCTGTGTGCTCCCCCCTCCCCATATTGTTTCTCTCCTAAACAGCCAAGGCACCTTTTAAAATATTGACAGAAAAAGGTCATGAAGAATCTCCCATCACATTACAGAAGGAAAATAATCTTCAGTGCCCCGCCCCAAAAAATAAGTACTTTAGAAAAAAGGAAAGTGAGCAAGAAATTCATGCTGAAGGTCTCATTCTATTTCTTCTAAAGCAGAAGAAACAAATGTTTAATCAGAAGGAAATGATCGGTGTATTGTTTATTTCCATCCGAACAAATTTGAACAAATTCAATTTGGGGTCTTAAAATTCAATCAATCCAACAAATTGGGGAATACGTTGGCCAATGTGAGAACGTTACCCCAAATTCTTTGTATCCCTTTCAAAGCTTAATCTAACAAACCCCAATGCCCCATTTTAGGGGCTCCCACAGGTTGAGGCAAGGAGATGGCCCAAGGAGGTCTTGCTATTTAAATCACCTTGCCAGAAACTCTCAAAATCCTTATTTACAAATCCAAACAAGATATGAGAAAGATCTAAAGACAATGGGATTCTACAAAGAACAGATAGAATGACCAAATACTCTTGAAAACAGATGAAAATTTGATTAAGAAATTTTATAGATTTCTGCTAAATTGGACGATGGAAGAAAAACAAGTAAAAGACACAATGATAGTTTGGGCAAAAAAAATTTGGATATTCTATAGACTTAGAAGTTTGGCAAAAGTTATGGGATGGAAATATAAAGCAGCTTCATATAAAGAAAACGTATATAAAATGTTTTATAGTTGGCACATGACAGCAGTAAGGCTAGCAAAAATGTTTAAAAATGTTTCAAATAATTGTTAGAAATGTAAACAAAAGCCAGGTACCTATTACCATATCTGGTGCATATGTCCTAGTGCAAATAAATTTTGGTCTAAGATTCATATTTGGCTGGAAAATATGACTAAAATACAGATAGAATTTAAGCCAGAATTGTTTCTGTTAGGAATACTATGATCTAACTATGGGAAAGACAATGAGTATTTAATATTACGTATATTGACAATTGAGAGAATAGCATTTGCCCAATACTGGAAAAATGAAAATGTACCGCCTGAAGAGATCATAATTAGGAAAATTCTAGAATGTGCAGAAATGGACAGACTAATCCTAGAGATTAAAGAGAAAGAAGACTCAGTTTATTTTAAAACATGGGAAAACTTTTACCAATGGTTAGCAAAACGAATTAGCAAGAAATGATTGTGAAATTTGTTAAGATGATTTATATTTATTGATTAATCGACATGCTTTATAATTATTGCTATTTTTGTTGACTACAGCTACTTATTATTATATTAAGTATCCTCATTGAATATTTGTATCCGGACAATAGTTTGTTCATTAAAGCTTGGAATGTTATTGGGGGCAACCCCATGTTGTACCCACCCCCATCCCAACCCTATCCCTGAACCCCACTCTGAATCCCACTACCCATATCGGTCCTGTTCTTCCCCTACCTTTATAAAACTTAATAAAATATTGTCAAAATTCAAAATCCTGGGAATTGTGTTGTTGCTGTTTCTGCAGAGCCCCCAGTGGGGAAGGTGACTCGCAAGGAGATGGATAACCACCGGGAGGTCCTCATCTGCCAGGCCTTTGGCTTCTACCCCAGGGAGATCCAGGCCACCTGGACCAGGGATGGACAGGTCTGTGACTATGAGACCCTCCCTAGGAACGTGGCCCCCAACTCAGACGGCACCTATTATGTCTGCCTCAGCATTGAGATCGACCCGAAGGAGAGGGACCGTTTTCGGTGTCGCCTGGAGCACCAGGGCTTGCAGGAGCCCCTGATCTTGGCCTGGAAGGAGGAAACAGGTGAGAGGCTCATGGGATTGTGACATGGAGAAGTAGATTTTTCACCAACGTTTGAAACAGTGGGGGGAGGAGGGCAGTAAATATAGTCCTACATTTAGCAATACAGGAGAAGTGATTCCTATCAGGGGAGTTGCAAGTAGTCACTTTAGAGCAGCGGTTCTCAACGTTTGTGTGACGGCGACCCCCGCCACACAAACATTATGCGCATGCGCGGCACGGCGCGCATGGGGGCGGGCCCCCGCGCGCAGTGCGCATGCGCGGCACCACCCCCCGCGCGGCACGCATGGGGGCGGGCCCCCCGCACGCGGCGTGCGCACGCGCGGCGCCGCGCGCACGCGGCGTGCGCACGCGCGGCGCCGCCCCCGGAGGTGCGGCGCCGCCCCATGCGCGGTGCACATGCGTGGCACCGCCCCCCGGAGGCGCGCCGCCCCATGCGCGGCGCGCATGCGTGGCGCCGTCCCCCGGAGGCGCACCACCGCCCCCACGCGCGGCGCGCGTGCGCGGCACCGCCCCCCGGAGGCGCAGCGCGCCCCCGGAGGCGACAAAATGGCGGATCGCCGCGTTTGGCGACCGCACAAAAGAGGTCGATCGACCCCAAATGGGGTCGCGACCCATAGGTTGAGAACCGCTGCTTTAGAGCAAAAGTATGATGAAACAACACACGATAATATAGCAGATGATGAGATATGATGCATAATTGATTGTGCCCTTCCAGGCCATTGGCTCTTCCCTCTGCAGCCTTGGAGGGGAGGGGCTTCCTTCAGGTGGGAGCACTTCCTGGAGGCCAATGCAGATTGGGAAAGGCTTCCATTGTTCAGCATCTCCACTTCAGGGAACTCAACATCTGTCTAATTGAAACCATGTTTCTCCTTCTTTAACCACAGGGTGGCAGACGTTTGTGGGAATTGTGGTAGTCTTGTTGGTCTTAATCTTGGGACTTGGAATTTTCTTCCTGAGTAAGTGAAACACCCCCCTGTCTCTTTCTGGGTTGACTGAGCTGGTATGGATGGGAGAGAGCCTCCCTGAGAATTGCAGACAGGACCCTCACAAGACCCTCCCTCACAAACAGCATTTTGAACATGGATTAGGAAGGAAGAAGAAGATATGTAGCCATTTTTCCATTTCCTGCAAATCTCAATACATCCCCCACATTCTTGTGTGGGAGGAAAACTCTATGGCCTCGATGGACTTGCTTCAGAGGAGCAAATATCAGCAGCTCAGGAGTCCAGGAAAAGTCCCTGAAATGATCTGGGAAGTGCTGGAAATTCCATAATCCTGTCCCTGAAGGAGATCTATTTGCCATGTCTCCTGGCAAAGGGAAGCTCCGATGGGAGGTCCGTGGAGGGAGGGGCCCCATGCCCTCTGCCCCTGCTTGCAATCCCACCTGGGGACAGGCAAGAGCAGGGAGGAAGGTCCAGCGGGGGAAGCTCCCGCTGCTTCTTCTGCTCCTATTCAGAGCAAGAGACACAAGAGGGTGGAAGGAGGCAGGACGTGTCTCCTCAGTTGAGTTTCACCATGTGCATCTCAGCACTTCCTTGTCATTTTTTCAGCCAGGATTTGGAAGTGCTTTGCCACTTCCTTCTTCCAGAACTGGTCTCCTCCTCCGATTGGCTTGCGATTCTCTAACCCAGCCAAACCAAGATCAGCCCAAAGTTGCTGGTTCTTAGATCTGGCTAGCTTAAGATTAGGTCACAAAAGTTGAATCAAGAACCTCTGAGCCCAGAGTATATGGGGAAACACCATCGTGCCCACAAAAAGATTCCAAGAGGTTTAGCATCATTGATGGCGCTCCAGTGCAGGTCCCTGTGGAGGTCTTCAGAATAAATCCTACTCCACCTGAGGCAGGAGTTGCTGCCCCCCCCCCCAAATAAACAAATGGTCTTCTCTTTTTGCCATCCGTCAGGTCGGTGGAAGAGACGCAGAAATGATCTCTATAAGGAAGTGACAACCTGCCATAATCTGATTCCTTCACAAAGCGTTCCTTCTTTCCCCATGCACCCTACAGAAGATGAGACGCAATCAGTGTTGTCACCTGCAAACATCAGGGGTGAGTGTGATTGTTGCCAATTATTGCTGTTATTTAAGGCACAATACCTGAGAATCAAGACCAGAAGGATTGTTGGAGGTGGGGAATTAATCCTCAAAGTGTTTCCAAGGTGGTTGTGTGGGGATCCTCGGCTTCCTCTGATGGGATGCTCTGCAGGGGATGATCCGGCTCAGCTCAGCCTCTCTGGCCCATCAGTTCCGAGGCAGGAGAGAGAAATGGGGAAGGAGCCCAGAGCAGGAATTGGGGCACGCTGGAGAAATGGGGGATTTCTCTCCAGGAAGGACTGGAGGGGAGGGGGAGAAGGAAAAGGGCAGCTGGGGCTATCCAGGAAAAAAAGGCTCCTTGGCCAGGATGAGCTGGAGACACAAGGGAACCCTGGGGGAGAAGTGGGGGGGGCACCAGCAGCTCTTTGTGCAGTGGGGACATTACAATCCTTCCTTCCTCTTTGACTGCTTCTCCCCATGCCTGCTGAGCTTCCAGTGGGTGCAGGAGAGAGCCGAGGGGAGGAGAGAAGAAACACGCCCCCCCCCATGCAAAAGGAAGTGTTGACTTCCTTCCTTTTTTCTCTCTCCCTGAAGCAGAAGCCATCCTGTGGACTGCAAAGGACACAAATTGATCCAGAAATCACTGTGTCATCATTGCGCAGACAAGAAGTAAAGCCGCTCCAGAATCAAAAAATGGAGTTATCTACTGTAGCAGCACTACAGAGGAGAAACAGGAAGAAAACGCATCCATGAACACCAACTAGTAGTCAGAAGACATGATGAAAACTTCTTCATTTCACAATACCTGGATAGACTCAACCATACCTTCAACTGGGAAACTGTGAGCATCCTTAGATCAAGCCAAATCCCAAAAATGCCAGGGAATTCCTGGAGGCCTGCCGCTCGGACAAAGTGGCCATCAACAGGCACATTGAGATAAACACCTACAATCCGAAAACCCAAAAGGAAATAATACCAAAAGGTCTCTTCAGCAGCAATCAATACCTATATGAGCAAAAATTAACATCCGGAATAACACAAGACCAACAATCCAGTAAACAACCTCCCAATCGAGGAATTACCAATACAAACAAGCTAACAGGAACCAGTCCCTGCTGTGTCGGCCACGCCCCCTGGGTGCATGCTGGGGAGGTGTCACCCTTTGTGAGGAATGAAGAAATGCACCATGCCTTGGCGCTTGCCCCGGTCCCACCCCCTTCTGCCAGAGACCCTCAGATCTGTCCCACTCCTGTGCCCAGGCCCCCACAGGCACCCTTGATGCAAACGATGTAGAGCTGGCCATGCCCACCCAGTAGGCCACACGCATTCCATCCACTCCCACCCAGTAGGCCACACCCACCCTGGCTGACCCACATGCCCCCCCCGGAGCATGCTGATGCGGCCCTCAATGAAATTGAGTTGGACACCCCAGATGTAGCACAACGGGGTAACTGTGGCCATTGAATCTATTGGTGTGATTAGCCACTGGTTGACTTGGGACAGTCCAGTTTAATATATTTTAATTTATATATTGAGAGACCATCTCTAGTTAATATATCAAGATATTTATTGCTTATTTAACACATAGAGACTACAGTGGCAAGACACCTTGTATCTACTGATGAGGTCATCCATTGGTTGATCTGGGTTAGATCCACTGGTTGATCTGCTTTGGATCCACTGGTTGATCTGCAATAAATGAAAGTCAGACCATTGGCCTTCCTGCCCAAGCATGCCTGTCCATTAAGGTGGCGGAGCAGATGCTGGTACCCAAGTGGCTGAGGGATGCTTTTGGTGTAGGGATGCTATTGATCAGGACAAGGTCCCCCCATACTCTAGCTGAACTTTAGCTGTTACTATGACTACTGAAGACGTACAGTATTAATGATATTGTTCTTAATGATTGGCATATGTGTGTGTTCATGACTGGTTCATGGCAATGTATGTTTCTCCAACTTGTATTAAAAGGGGGGTCCACTGTGGAGCAGAGACGTCCCATTTTTGAATTTGCTTCCTTAGGAATAAAAGTCTTACACTTTTCCACCTATCAGGTGTGGTTGTTGGGCTTGCACACCAAGGAAAGAAAGTCCCAGTTTTCCCCAGGTATCCTTGGAGCTTTTATGGTACAAAAATATGGCCAAAGATTTTTAAAAACAATTGTTTATGGAGCGATTGGAGAAAAGGATGTGCAGAGCACCAGTTTCCTGAAGAAGGAAGATTTCTGTTAACAAAACTGTGTATTAAAAACAGACAAAAAACAAAGCCACCAGCCATAACAGTTTTTTCATTCTGCAAAACAGGCCCACGTCTTTTAAATAAGTGGGCCTGTTTTGCAGAATGAAAAAACTGTTATGGCTGGTGGCTTTGTTTTTTGTCTGTTTTTAATGCACAGTTTTCTAAAAAAAATGCTTTGATTAGTTTTGTTCTCTTCCAAAATCTTTTTTATTATAATAATAATAATAATTATAATAATAATTATTATTATTATAGTAATAAAAAAGTTGAAAAGGACATTTGAGGTCATCTAGTCCAACCCCCTGCTCAGGCAGGAAACCCTACACCATTTCGGACAAATGGCTGTCCAGTCTCTTCTTAAAAACTTCCAGTGTTGGAACATTTACTGCTTCTGGAGGCAGGTTGTTCCACTGGCTAATTATTCTAACTGTCAGGAAGTTTCTCCTTAGTTCTGGGTTGCTTCTCTCTTTGGTTAGTTTCCACTTTGGAAGTTACTATTCTAATTTTGGGAAGGGGGGTGTCATTTCAAAGAGGCCCCCCCACAATAGCTGGAGAAGAAGAATGAAGTCATCTCCAACTGGCAGGAGAGCAGTGAGTGTCTCAGGCAGCAAAACGAGAAGTCCAAGGAACAAGGGGCTGAACTGAGGGTCCCTGCTGAACCCCCGTCCCCCGTCCCCCCTCCCACCATTCCCCAAGCCACTCCCTGCTATCCCAGGGAACTCCTAGACCCCTCAGAGGTCGTGGCCCCCTCCCATATCCTCCCCCCCCCATGTCAAGAAGAAAAAGAGCGTCCCGTAAGACAAGCTGCTCCTGCAGAGATTTCACAACTCTGGAAACTGCATCCCTTTTTTTGATGGTGGAGGGGGGGGAAGCTGACTGGAGGGGGGCGGGAAGCTGACGGGGGGGGCGGGAAGCTGACTGGAGAGGGGCTTAGTCTTTGCCCGGACAGGAATGGGCGTGGGGAGAGGAGAAGGAGGCGGGGCAGAGCTCTGAACGTTCTCCGCTCACTTTCACTTTCACTTTCGCTCTTTGTTCCGAAATGCAAACGAGAAACTTAAAAGGAAGTCCGGGCGAAGCGCGAGGGGGAAGGAAGCCATTTTAATTGCCAACCAGGCTTTTTTGGGGGGGGGGAGGCAGCCCCAGGAGGCAGCGCCCCCCCCACCTTCTCCCCCATTTACAAGCCTCCCCGAGCCTCCCCGGAGGGCCCCCGAGCCCGCGATGGGAAGGGCTGGCCCTGAAGGCATCGGCAGCGATCCAAAGCCCCAAAGCGCCAGGTTGAGGTTCCGTTTGGGATTCATTGCCCGCCGAGGGTAACTGCCGGACGAAAGAGTGTCGGAAGCCAGCCAAGCCGGGAGAAAAGAAGCGGGACGGCCTGGCAGAAGAGAAAAGAAAGGATTTTATTTTATTTAAAATTACCTGGATGTAAAGAACGGCCGATTCCAGACCGCCCTTATTCACCCAAGCAATCCAGCGCCTTTCTTCGGGAGTTCGAGGCAACTCCCATCATCCCCAGGCCGCAGGGGAGGATGGGGATTGTAGCCTCAGCCCCCCATCCCCCACCCCAAGGGCGGGTCTCCCTCTTGAGTAACCAGGGGCTTTGAGCTGACCCGCCTCCTCCATATAAGGCCGTTCCCACGACGCCCGGCCCACCAACTAAGGGGTGGGACTAGAAGACCTCTGAGGCCCTTTTCAACCTTATTACAGTATATACTTACCGTGTGTTCCTCTGCGCTCTCGGGGCTGGGCAGGTTTTTGCCCCGAACCTCCTTTCGCTCCGGCTCCTTCCCTTTCCTGGGTCTCCAGGGGGTCTCCTTTCCTTCTCCCCAAAGGGAGCTTCGACACCCCTCCCCCCCCCGCGGATGACCTCCGCGCCACTTTCCCTTTCCAGCGCTCAGCCCCCCCCCCGCCCTTCACAGACTTCCTCCTTCGGCGCCAGCTGATCGGGGCTGCCCATCTAGTGTCTGGATCCGGATGGGACTCTCGACGGCCCGGATGGAACTTTTGTCCGCGGCGGCCCTCCTGTTGCTGGGGGCAGGATGTGCAGGTAAGTGGCCGGAGGGGCGGGGCTAAGGAAACCTGAGACGGGCAGCCTGTTTTTCCTGTGGCAGCGAGTTCCGGAGGCTTTGCCGGGTTGGGGAGGGCAATATACATAGCCCGCTTTAATCTTGCTGTAGACTTTTGGCCTGATTTTATACTGCCTGTGGCAAAACTGAAAGTTACCAGAGGACATCTAGACCAGCGGTTCTCAACCTGTGGGTCGCGACCCCATTTGGGGTTGAACGACCATTTTACGGGGTTCGCCAAACAATGCGATCCGCCATTTTTTTCCTCAAGGACCCCTCAGTGCCTCCTGTTTTGGGGCCAGGATGTCTTCCTTGATAGACCTCCGTACACCTCCATAATTTTAAAGTCGTGAGGCTTTGTCTATGAAGAGGGCTGATTCCAAATTAAAAAAAAAAAGTTTGTTTTTTTAAAGTGTGCCTTTGGAGACCCCTCTCCCAAATCTCCTCCCTCCCCTCCCCCAATCTGCTCTTTTCAGGCTCCTCTTCCCATTCATTGGGCATTTTCTACACTCTGTTCATGGGCTCCAGCAGGATGGGGTCCAGTACATTATGGTGGAGTATGTGGACGATCAGCTGGCTGCACGCTTTGACCCCTCCAGCAGAAGAATGCTTCCCCAAGTGCCCTGGCTTCGTAATCTGAGTGAGGAAGACTCCTGTCTCTGGGAATCCCTATCTTGGTTAGTGAATGCCACGGAGCGGGGGTTCAAGCATGAACTCACCATCCTGTACAACTATCACAACTCCAGCAAAGGTAAGGCACAGTGGGGTGCGGGGGGCTTTGAACCATGGATTTGGGGTTGTTCTGCCCAGACAGAACTCGTGGCTCTGAATCCAATCTAAACAGTCCGATAACTCGATAGAAATGATTAAAACAAACATTTATTGTCCAGGGATTCTAAGCAGAGACTTACTGTGCTGTAGATACATCTGGTTTTCCATATTTGTTCATTCCTATAGGTAATTTAATATTGAATTTTCCCCTCTTCTTCTGCTAAGAGTCACATGTTGGCAGGATGAAGAAAGGCTTCCATCTGGCTTGTGCCCAGGAAGTCTCCCAATGACCCTTTTGACTCCTCCCATTGACCCATCAACATACCCAGCATTTAACCCAATAACTGCCAGATATTCTAACATACTAACACATGCTCCCTAGTTAGAGTTACGTAGGTCTATGCTAAGTCCAGAACAGGGGCCTTCCCAGGTGACCCTTCCTCTCCAGGAGGAGTCTGGATGGGTAGGAGATAGTAGCAAAGAAAATGTGGCCGTGCACATCTGAGTCAAAATAAAATGTCCCTCTTCTGCACATGAATGGGGAAGGCTGAATGAAGGGCTGCCACTTGCGCGGCGAAAGTCAAATGGCCAAAATACAGATTGTCCTCAGCTTATGACCACCGTTGAGCTCCAGATTAGTGAGAAATTTGTCACGGGAGTTTTGCCCCATTTTACGACTTTTCTCGCCACTGCTGTTAAGTGAATCACTGCAGTTGCTCAGTTTGTCATCCGGTTGTTGAGTGAATCCAGCTTCCCCGTGGACTTGGCTTGTCGGAAGATCGCAAAAGGGGATCCCATGACCCCAGGACACTGCGACCGTCATAAAGTAGTTGCCAAGCATCCAAATGCTAATCAGGCGACCGTGGGGATGCTGCAACGGTCGTAAGTCTGAAAAATGGCCATAAGTCACTTTTTTCCAGTGCTGTTGTAACTTCAAACGGCCACTAACTGAACTGTTGTAAGTCAAGGACTGCATGTGAAGGACAACAATGAGCTATCGTTGTTGTTTTTAAAAAAAGATCAATAAATCTACAGGTCAGCTTTCTGAAATAAAGGACTGTCCTTTATTATACGGCAGAGGTCTCCAACCTTTCTGGGCTTGTGGCCCGGAGGGAAGGAGAGCAGCTTCCAAATTGGTGCGTGTGCACGTACACAAACGGGGCCACACACACTGGTGCAGCACTAGTGGCCCTATTTGTGCCTGCAGCATGCTCTGGCACCATGCGCATGTGCGAACGGCCGTTTGCTGGACTAGTGTGTAACCATCTGGCCAGACTGTATGTCTAACTTAGGAACTAAGAAGTGTGCTGTTAGAGCAAGTAGCATTTTAAGGGGTTAAATGCTGTCTCCTTAAGAGGTGGCTTCTGGGAAATGTAGTTTAGTTGTTGCATGGTTATATATATGTGTTCTAATTGGTCAGTTCTATGTCTTAACTAACCATTGGGAGGGACTTCTGTGTTTATGACAGGATTTCCTGGCTAAGTGTATGTATGAAAAGCTTTGTGTAGTACAGCCACATGGTTCCTTTGCTCCATACGAAAATGGGGTGAATCTACCTTTAATTTTTTTACACCACAAGAACAGACAGGTTATGATACGTGCCTCAAAAGAACTCTTGTTAACTGTAAGTTATTGTTTAGGCATTCCTGAAGAATAAATAATCTGAATATTAATCCGTCTTTGGAGTTAATCTGTCTGTGACAAACAGGAATAAAGCAAATCTCTTGTTTGGATCAGAACAGGCTGTGTACCCTACAGCGGCTAGCAGCCCTGTTCACGCATGCGCAAATGGTCCACAGGTGCTAGTGCAAGTGGGGGGGAATGCGCATGGCCTGCTGACCAAGGACCCACAGCTTAGGACCGGGCCACGGCCCATAGGTTGGGGACCCCTGTTATACAGTACATGTGGTTACTCTGCCTATATCCCAACGTTTATCCTGATTTGAGCAGGGTGTCAAACCCTCCCGGGCTCGACACACAAAAAAAGGGGGGAGAGCCTGGTGACAGAGGAGGAAACCCAGCATAAGATCTAAGCAGCTCACCGTTTTAGAAGTAAGAGTGAGCCGCAGATCCTCCGGTGGCTGTTCGGAACGCTGGAGCAGCAAAGGGACGATTCTGGACACCATAAGACGCCGCGCCTGCGCAGAAGAAGGACAAACCGCCGAACAGCTGACAAGCGTCAAGCTGGTGCACAGCTGATGGGTGGTAGCCGACAATTATGATTAACAGTGAAGGGCATCTCAGGGAAGCCTCAGGGGTGGTTGAGGTTTCTCTAATTGCTGCCGGGTGCTGGTTGGGAGACGAGCGGGCAGGGTTGTAGGTTGTTAGGCAGAGGTGTGATGGGTTTGTGGCTGGGGATTAATTGGTGAAGGGTGGGGTAGTAATTACAAGAGGGTAGTAATTACAGGAGTGTATTTAAACAGGGCTGGGAGGCAGTTGCTCCCAGCGCAAACTTTGTAAAGCATAGAACGTGATTGCTAAGGTCTGTGTGAACGTCATCGCTTTACCTCAAGTAAACTGGAGTTTGTTGGACGAAGGTGTTCCTGTGTTTTCCTTTTTCCTGCAAGTGTCCAGTAGGAAAGCTGACACAGGGTTCCACAGTTGGCAGAACCTGATTCGCTGCGAGCTGAGCAACAAAGGCCACAAGGGGGGCGTTTATCAGTATGGCTATGATGGGAAGGACTTCATCAGCCTGGACCAGAAGACCCTCACCTGGATCGCATCGGATGTTCACGCTCAGGTGACCAAGAGGAGATGGGAAGGTGAGCGTTTGATCGCTCAGAGCAGGAATCACTGTTTGGAGAACAAATGCATAGAGCTGCTCCAGAAGTGCCTGACGTACGGAAAGGAATCCCTGCTGAGGAAAGGTGAGGAAGGAAGGAGGGAGCCAAGTTGGTGTTGATGATGTGTCAGGTCAGCATTCAATCTGTGGGGCTACACAAGTGCAGTCTTAAAACATGCTGGGGTTGTGTTCTCTACAGAGGCCCCGGTGGCGAAAATAACTCGCAGGATCCAGGACAAGGGCCAGGAGACCCTCGTCTGCCGAGTCTACGGCTTTTATCCCAAAGAAGCGAACGTCACCTGGAGGAAGGACGGAGAAGTCAGGGAGAATGGCACCTTCTGGAGTGGTGTTCTTCCAAACTCAGACGGGACCTACCATACCTGTCTGGGCATCAAGGTTAACCCAAGAGAGAGGGACCATTATCGCTGCTATGTGGTACACGCTGGACTAACAGAGCCTCTGATCGTGGCCTGGGAGGAACCTGGTGAGAGAACCGGGCAGGGGGGGGAAACCAGCTGAACATGAGTGAAGTTGTCCCTAGGGTGTCTGTGGTCATACAACCTAATAAATGTAGTGAGGGGTTTCCTCGTTTAGCAGGTTCACCTATGCTGAGGACCTTAAATTGGCCAAGGGTTGAATTCGCTCAACACGTCAAGCTCCGAGAGGCCCTTACTTAAGTTCAGATGAACCCTTGACCAGGTCTGGTGTGTTCGGCCAGCCAGGCCTTTCATGCAAATCTGAGCTGGTGGGTTAATTAAGGCATCTAAAAGAGGAGGAAGTTTAAAGCAGGGGTCTTCAACCCATGGGCTACAAACTGCTCCCGGTCCATGGCCTGTTGGGAACCGGGCCGCGCAAGCTGCAGCTGAGCACATGAAGCCTCATATGCTCATGCACTGCAGCTAGGTTGCGTGTGCGAAACCATCCCCCCCTCCTCATTGCCGCTGCCATTGCTGTTGCTGGTCCATGGTTGGGAACCACTGGTTTAAAGTTTGGCATGTAAAGGTTGACTCCTGTGGGATGCCACAAGGAAGAAGATGTTTGTGGGGGAGGAAAAGCTTATGGTATGGAATGTCAGCTGTATTTTTATAGCCTATCAAAATCCTAGAGCCAGAAGTGTCCCTTGAGGTCATCCAGTCCACCCCGTGCTCGGTGCAGGCATTTGACTTAAACCATCCCAGAAAGATGGCTCTTTAGCTCCTCCTTGGACAAATCCGTCCTCTCCCTGGATCAGAGGTTCTGCCCCTACTATTAAGGATTTTTTTAGTTAACTCAGTCTTGACTGCCCTCTCACCATGGCTGGGGAATGCAAGGGAAGAGAAATCCCGGAGCTTCTCCAGTCATTTTGACCTTTCTCCAAAACAGTCGATGGGCTCGTGGCCGGAGTCGGGGTTGTGGTTGAAGACCTCACTGTGGTCCTCATTGCTGCCACACTGACTTGCTACATCGGTAAGCAACTCTTGGGTGGGCACCGGAGGCATCATTCACAAAACATGTGGGAGGTGCTGCCATACCCCTAAACCTGGCCTTTCCCATCTATCAAAGGCCGGGGGGGGGGAGGAATTAAGGGACTCTTCAGCGGGAACCTCTAATTTCTTGATTCTGTCTTGCAGCCATATTTGTTGGAGGTGCAGGCGGAGAAATCGCGGGTGAGTGATCCTGAAATGTAATTCTGGTACAGGCTGCTTTTTGGGGTAGAAAGGGGAATGGTCCAGTTTAGCCCAAATGAAGCTTGTAGCAGACTTATGAATTCTGGGCAATGGGAAATATGGGATCTTGCTACATAGAAGAAAGTTTGCCATGTGTCAGTTTATTTATTGATTTATTAGTTAGAATTTCTTAACAACCCAGTAGCCAAATCTCTCTGGCAGTTCACAATAACAGAGACACACACACAAAGAGAAAAAACAGGGAGAGAGAGAAAAACAAGGAGAGAAAGAGAAACAGAGAAAAGAGAGAGAGTGAGAGAGAAACAGAAAAAAGGAGAGAGAGAGAAAGAGGGAGGGGGAGAGAAAGAGAAAAAAACAGAGAAAAGAGATACACAGAGAAAAAACACAGAAATGGAGAGAGAGAGAAACAGGGAGAGAAAGAAAAACACACACAGAGAGAGAAACAAAAGAGAGAAGGAGAGAGAAACAGAAAAAAAGAGACGGAGAGGGGAGAGAAAGAAAAAAACAGAGAAAAACATACAGAGAGAAACGGGAGGAAGAGAGAAAAAACAGGGAGACAGCGAGAGAGAGAGAGAGAGAGAGACAGACAGACAGACAGACAGACAGACAGAAGTTGAGCTAAAACATATAGGCTATAGCAAAGTCAGGCTCCATTGATCAACCACATGACGTGTCAAAACATATCAGGACCTGGCAGTTTGACATCCCTGCTCTAGAGATAGACAAGTGATAATAAATAAAACTAATTGTCAGGCTGTATGTAACAATCCCCCTGAAACCTTCCATAAAACCTCATTTGGGGAAATGGAAGGGAAGCAACACTGGAGCAGGCTGACTTCATGGGAGATGGGGTCAAGGTGAGCAAAAGGACAGTTCTGGCAGATTTATTTTATTTTTATTTTATTTTATTATTTTATTTTTATTTTATTTTATATTTTATCATTTTATTTTATTTTTTAATTTTTAATTTTATTATTTTATTTTATTATATTTTATTTATTTTGTTTTAATTTATATTTTATTTTATTATTTTATTTATGCTGGAGATCACCCCTGTCCGAGGCAGTTTCATAAGCAATGACAGGGGCCATCAGTTTGGCTTTCCTGCTGTATCCTAGAAAAAAAACTACTGAAGAAGCCTGGCTGCATTTGAGCGCATTTTTATTTTTTAAAAAATGCCCATCAAGTTCTTGCAGAACACATTTTGAAAAAACCCTATATCTAGATCAGTGGTTCTCAACCTGGGGGGAGATCAACAATGTCGTCACAGGAGGTCCACGAAGGCTTGAAGAAATGTTATGATTTAAATTTTGAGTTAAGCCTTGGGGGTTCGTGGCCATGGTCTATGGCCACAAAAGGTACACAAAGGGGGTACGTGGTGAAGAAAAGGCCGAGAACCCCTGTTCTAGGTGATGGTTGTGATTGATGGCAAAAGCAAACTGCCTTGAAGGGGAATACATGTGGGAGATGCCTAGGACTTTGTGTTGCTTATGATCCCTTCGATATATTGCCTGGCTAAAGGAGACTCTCCGCTTTGTCCTGAATCTTCATTTTGCTTATTTCTCTGTTACAGCCGCCAGACAGTATTTTGAAATGCATCCCATGGTAAGTATGGGGTACAGGGCTGTAGCAGTACAGACAAGCTAACAGTGAACAATCCAGGGACCTCCAAGAACACCCCCTCCGAACACTGACAGGGCAAACCACTAGTACATAAAAATGAGAGCAAGTTCCTCTCCCTTCTAGCATGGATGATGTTACCTAGTTTGGTACTGAAACATCTGGAAGAAAACATACCAAGTCAGAGAACACCAAGGATCCCACAGCAGGAGGGGAGAAGCATCTGCCAATCCCCTCCTTTTCAGGCAAGGAACACATCCACTGCCACATTATTATTATTATTATTATTATTATTATTATTATTATTATTATTATTATTATTATTATTATTATTATTATTATTATTATTATATTACTACTACTACTATATTAAGTTTTACAAAAAAACCTGGGCAACAAAGTCTGCAATTTTCAGAGGATAATATCTCTTGAACCTTATACCTCGTATTTAGAATTTAACAACCAGTCAAGAGTGAATAGATTCTCTGTGTCTTTACCTCAGCCAAAAGACTGATATATACAACATTGGAAAAATAAATGTCCTCTTTCCCTCCTGATTGTATTTGCCACCTATGAGCAGATTGCTTTTACGCGTAGACATGTATGGGCAAATATAATGAATGTACGAGACTTATTTTTACAAAATGACAGTGATATGTATGTTCTATGAATGTACTGTAGATATACTTGAATAATAATTCCACTGCATAATTATATATAAAATTGTAAATGTTTACCGCAAAATGACATACTCTTTTTTTCATTGTTGTATTTTGCCTGCTGAAAAAAAAGAACATTCTCTTTTTCTCTCTCCTTTGACTACGTATGTATTCATTTGTGTCATGCTGGAATCTCGTTTATCATTCAGGTGTGAGACTTGAAAAAGAGGAATTGGAAAGCAGGATTTGCACTTGAAAGCTTAAACCTTGGCAACTTTAAGCCGTGTGGACTTCAACTCCCAGAATGCCTCAGGCAGGATGAGACTCCCAGGTGCCTAGAAAGACCTGTTCTCTCCCCCCCCCCCACCTGTTCTGAAAGCAGTCAGGAGAAATGGCAGCTGTGCAAACCAACAAGTGTGGAAGGAGAGGACCTTGTATATTTGCCTCCCTTCCTTCTCACCTTTAGTGATAGCTTGCATTTTATTGCCATTTTGACGTGATTCTATACATCTCCACATAATATTTATGGTTTCATTTTAATGCTGTGAGCCGCCCAGAGTGATCTTGTGGCGAGGTGGGCGGCAAACAAATTTAATAAAGAAATAAATTAGTCGTACAATCTTTAACATATTCTTTTAACACGCACTCTTCAATCATTTGAATTCTTGTAATTCGCCCGGAGTGGCCCTACTACGGCAAGATAGGCGACAAATAAATTTAAGAAATAAATACATTTATTGATTTGTTAAATTGATCTGTCATCTATTTCGTGACAAATTTATTTATTTATTTATTTATTAAATTTATCGGCTGCCTATAAAAAGAGTGTGTTAAAAGAATATGTTAAAGATTGTATGACTGAGGAGGCCCCCCCCCCAAAAAATGGACATACTGTTAAGTTTTGACTTGGGGATTTGATGATATGTTTTGATTGTAGAAATATTGTGCATTATTGGCGTTTAATAGATTTACATTTTATTTTAGGTTTTCAGGTATTTGTTTAAAATACAGGATGTTTTATTATATATATTTGACTATAGAAATAGTATTTTTAGGTGTATTTTGGGTGTTGATGTTATGAAGCATTTATGGGCAATACATTTTATTTAGACTAAGAGACCATGACATTATATATTGTTACCATTTGATTGTTTGGTATGTCTGTATCTTTTATATTTTAGTTTTGTATCTTTTGTTAAAATGAAAATACCACAAAGGTACAAGAGTCTTATAATTGTATCCCTCTCAAAGAGAGTTGTAAGTATTTTTTTTTCCTGTTCTTTTTCATGATTTTTTATTTTTAAAAATGTCCCTGTTGTTTTCATGCCCCATTTTTCCCTTTTTGATACATTTTTTTCATGTTAACTGTTTTTTTTTATTTTTTGAAACTTAATAAAATATTTTTTAAAAAATAAAATAAAATTCATGTATCGTAAATTTAAAAGCTATTTGAAGAATAGCTGTAGAAATACTATTTGAGGGAAGGGTGAGGATCCTTGTGCCAATGAAGCAAGCAATCAGCTAAACAAATTCCTGAGGAAGTGCTACTGTTGGTTACTGTTACACACATCCTAAAAAGATCAGTCAAGTATGGAACTAATTGGTGTTCACTGGGGAAGCCAGCAGGAAATCACAAGTCACAGTCATGACATCATGCTTAACAGTTGGCAGGGGGTGGTACAAAACGTCAATTTGGATGTGATGGAATTAGACTAGTGCCCCCAACCTTTTGGGCACCAGGAACTGGATCCATGGAAAGAGATTTTGGACTGGAGGCAGTGGTGGGATTCAGCCGGTTCTCACCAGTTTGGCAGAACCAATAGCTAATTTTTTCTTGCCCAGACCCAGAATGGACTTCCAGAAGTGGCATCCACACAGAACCGGTTGTTCACATATTTGAATCCCACCACTGACTGGAGGGGGTGTGGTTTCACATGCTGCCTGCATCCTATCGATGGGGCTTCATTTGTTTGCATGATCCAGTTTTTGGCATGCCATGGCCCAGTGCCGGTCCACAGAAAGGGGGGTCGGGGACCCCTGAATTAGACCATATAAATAAACCACACACAGAATAACCCAAAGCACACAGAGAAGTTCCCTGAGGATGGGCTTTAGCACAAGTCCGAAAGCATGGAAGATAAAAATCTCTGGTCCCGGTGACTGGCCCAGATTGGATCCTGCAATATTATTCTTGGGTATGTGTAATTCACCTTCATTCCTGATGGAATTAGGCTAGGATCTGATATCTCCAGGTGAAAATAGCCCAGGGAGTGCCAGGAGGAGCTTGGAAATGGAAGAGGGGAAAGAGCAGAATGGGTGGTGATGGTGGTGTCTGCAGCTCCAGCTCCTCCCTCACTGCTGTTGGGAAAAGCAATTCTCCAATTATTTTGGAGGATTTCCAGTCGTGAGGCTCACCCTGGAGAGTGGCCAAAGAAGTCCACAGTAACCCTTGGAAGAACTTGGGCATCTGGTGAGCGAGTCCTTGGGTGCCCCTCGGGGTTTCATGCAGCTGCTTGTGGGCCTGAACTCCAGTTTGATCCCACATGGCCACTTGCCTGGAGGATCAGCAGAACAAGAGCTTCTTGGAACTTCACACCTGAGTGTGGAAACATCACGGTTCCTGGAAGGGGCGACACACACTTGGAAGAAGCCATCCTCCCTCACATTCCTGGCCAGGAGATGTTTCTGAGGGAGGAGGGGGGAGGGAGGGGACTGTAGGGAGGCTCAGTCTCTACCAGGAATGTGGGGAAGGAGGTGTGGAGAGCAGAGCTCTGAACACTCTCCTTTCACTTTCACTTTCTGCTCAGCATTACAAAGGGGACTTGGTTACTTATTAAACACCCTCTGCTTTCACTTTCACTCCCCCCCCTCAGAAATACAAAGGAGAATTGGTAACATATTAAACAGCAGAACTCTTTAAAGGAGGCTGGGTGAAGCAGGAGGGAAGGTAGCCCCAAAGAAGGAATTTGGGAGAGGGGAGAGTCAGCCCAAGACTTACTTACTTACTTACTTACTTTCTTTCTTTTTCTTTCTTTCTTTCTTTCTTTCTTTCTTTCTTTCTTTCTTTCTCTTTCTTTCTTTCTTTCCTTTTCTTTATCTTTCTTTCTTTCTTTCTTCCTTCCTTCCTTCTCTCCCTTTGTCTTTCTCTCTTCCTCTTTCTTTCTTTCCCTCCCTTTCTTTTCTTTCTTCTTTCTTTTCTCTTTCTTCTTCTTTCTTTCCCTCCCTCTTTTTCTTTCTTTCTTTTTCTCTCCCTCACTCCCTCTTCTTCTTTCTTTTCTTTCTTTCACTCTTTCTTCCTTTCTTTTTCATTCTTTCCTTCCCTCTTTCTTTTTCTTTCCCTTCCTCCTTCCCTCCCTCCCTCTTTCTTTCCCTTTCTTTCTTTCTTTCTTTCTTCCTTCCTTCCTTCCTTCCTTCCTTTTTCTTTCCTTCTTTCTTGCTCTGTTTCTTTCTCTTTCCCTCTCTCTCTCTTTCTCTTTCTTTCCCTGTCTTTCTTTCTTTCTTTTTCTTTCTTTCTTTCTCACTCTCTCCCCCTTTCTTTTCTTTCTTTCCCTTTTTCTTTCTTTCTTCCTCTTTCTTTTTTTCTTTCTTTCCCTCCCTCCTTCCCTCCCTCCCTCTTTCTTTCCCTTCCTTCCTTCCTTCCTTCCTTCCTTCCTTCCTTCCTTCTTTCTTTCCTTCCTTCCTTGGAGTTGAAGTACACGAGTCATAAAAGAGCCAAGGTTGCCTACCCCTGGACTAGCCAAAACCAAGTCCCGCAGCTGTTCTTCACATGTTTTAGTCTCCAGGCCTTGAATGATTTTAGTTGCTCTTCAGCGAACGTCTCCAAAGAAAAACAAGAAAGTCCAGTTGCCTGGTGAAAAAGCACCTTTGGAGTCCGGACACTCTCCTTTCACCTTCACTCCTCGCTCAGAAAAGAAACGGGAATTGGTTACTCGAAATGTCAACGGCCCAATGAAGCAGGAGGGATGGAGCTGCAGGAAGGAGGACTTTGGGGGGGGGTAGGGAAATGGGGGAGAGTCAGCCTGAGATAGCACTGCTTCTTCTTCCCCCTTCCCTCCTTTCTCTCCAACCTCCAGTGGCAAAACTCACCGAAGAGCCCCCGAGTGACGTTTGGAAGGGCTGGCGCTTCGCGCTGAGGATCAGCAACGGTTCCAGGCGCCAAACGCCAAGAAGTTTGGTTTCGTTTTGGGTCTTGCCTGGATGCGTTTACGCTTCTCACCCCCGAGGGTAAACTGGCGGAACAGCAGCGTCAGAAGCCGGCAAAGGTGAAGACAAGGAGCGGGAAAGTTTGGCAGGTGAGAAAGGGAAGGGTTTTTTTTTTTTAAAAAAAAAAATCGATTTAAAGAACTCCAGACACTTTTATTTATCCAGCTAGGGGTAGGCAACCTTGGCTCTTTTATGACTCGTGGACTTCAACTCCCAGAATTCCTGAGCCAGCATAGCTGGCTCAGGAATTCTGGGAGTTGAAGTCCACGAGTCATAAAAGACAGGAATTCTGGGAGTTGAAGTCCATGAGGCATAAAAGAGCCAAGGTTGCCTACTCCTGCCCCAAGCAACCGGGCGCCTTCCGCGGGTGCTCGAGACAACGCCCATCATCCCCAAGCCACAGAGGGAATGGGGATTGTAGTCCCCCGCAGGAAACTAGGTTGGAATCAGATCACCCACCCGTGAAGGGGGTAGGCGGGTCTCTCTGTCTTGGGGAAGCGGGGCCACTGAGCTGACCCGCTCCTCAACCAACAAGAGCAGTTCCCACGATGCCTCGCCCACCAGCTAAGGGGCCGATTCCTCCTGCTTGGGCAGGGGTGGGGGTGGGGTGGGGTTGGACTAGGTGACCTATAAGGTCCCTTCCAACTCTGGGATTCTATTTTTTTGCCCCGGAGTTTCCTTTCGCTCCGGCTCCTTTCCTTTCCTTTCCTCACCCTTCCTTCTCCCCAAACTTTCACTTTCCAGCGTTCGGTTCCTCCGGCGCCTTTTGCAAACTTTCTCCTTCGGCCGCCGCCTCGTCCCGCTCCTTCGTCGCCAGCTGAGCGGGGCTGGATCCAGATGGGGCTCCCGGTGGTCCGCTGGGGGCTCCTGTCCGCGGCGGCCGTCCTCTTGCTGCGGGGAAGATGCGCAGGTGAGTGACCGAAGGAGGCGGGCCTCAAACCGGGCGGGGCAGCCCTGTTTTCCCCGTGGCAACGAGTTCCAGAGGCTTTCGCCCTTTTAGGGAGCCAGGTTAGAGCCCACCCTATCCACCTGAAATAAAGGCCTATTGTTAATCGTTCCATCCTGTTGCTGTGAGAGGATACGCAGGTGAGTGGCCAGAGGGGCCGGGGCTATGGAGATCTCAGGCAGGCAGTCTGGTTTTCCTGTGGCAGCGAGTTCCAGAGGCTTTGCCCGGTGAGGTGGCTAGATTCAACCCCACCTGGTCTGTCTGAAATAAGTACACTTTTGTTAAACTCTTTGTAGGCGTTTAGCATGGTTTTATACCTCTGAGGTAGAATTGAAGGGGTACTAGAGAGCACCTAGTCTATCCCCCTTTTGGACTATCACTGCATGATGTCTTTCCTGATATACCTACCCTAGATTTTAGAGCAGGGAATATCCAACCTTGGCAACTTTAAGACTTGTGGACTTCAAGCCCCAGAATTCCTTAGACAGCTATGCTGGGTGAAGAATTCTGGGAGTTGAAGTCCACAAGTCTTAAACTTAACGAGTAGGGGGACCCCTGTTTTAGAGTACAAGTGAGCCCGAAATTGGTGTTGTTAAGTGAGACATTTATTAAGTGAGTTTTGCCCCATTTTACGACTTTTGCCGCTGCCTTTGCGAAGCCAGTCACCGTCGTTCAGTTAATAACACTACTGCTAAGCTCGTCAGAAAGTCGTAAAAAGGACACAAATATGAGTTGATTGCCAATTTTGATCTCCTGACCGTGGGGAAGCTGTGACAGTTGTGTGAAAAATGGTCATAAGTCCCTTTTTTCAGGGCCGTTATAACTTCGGTCATTAAATGAACTGTTGTAAGTTGAGGACCAGCTGAACTGAGGCTTCCTCTAAAAGGGGGGACTGGTTTCAAATAAAAAAGGGGGAGATAAAAAGTGTGTCTTTGGGCTCCCCTCTCCCAAATTTCCTCTTCCCCCCTCCCTGCTCTTTTCAGGCTCCTCCTCCCATTCGTTGCGCATTTTCTACACCCTGGTCATGGGCTCCAGCCAGGATGTGCCCCATTACATTGTGGTGGCATATGTGGATGACCAGCTGGCTGCACGTTTTGATGCCCCCACAAGAAGAATGTTGCCTCAAATGGCCTGGCTTCATAAAATGGAGGACGAGGAGGGCTCCCATTTCTGGGATCTGTCATCACGGAGAGTGAGCACCACCAAGAGGAGGTTCAAAACTGACCTTGCCATCTTGCACAGCCACCACAACTCCAGCAGAGGTAAGATAAGATAAGATAAGATAAGATAAGATAGGATAGGATAGGAGAGGATGAGAGGAGAGGAGAGGAGAGGAAGATAAGATGAGAGGAGAGGAGAGGATAAGATAAGAAGATAAGTTAAGATAAGAAAAGATAAGATAAGATAAGATAGGGTAGGATAGGAGGAGAGGAGAGGAGAGGATAAGAAGATAAGATAGGATTGGATAGGATGAGAGGAGAGGAGAGGAGAAGAGAGGAGAAGAGAAGAGAGGAGAGGAAGATAAGATAAGAGGAGAGGAGAGGAGAGGATAAGATAAGAAGATAAGATAAGATAGGAGAGGAGAGGAGAGGATAAGAAGATAGGATAGGATAGGATAGGATAGGATAGGATAGGATAGGATAGGATAGGATAGGATAGGATAGGATGAGAGGAGAGGAGAGAAGAGGAGAGGAAGATGAGATAAGATAAGATGAGAGGAGAGGAGAGGATAAGATAAGAAGATAAGTTAAGATAAGAAAAGATAAGATAGGATAGGATAGGAGGAGAGGAGAGGAGAGGATAAGAAGATAAGATAAGATAGGATTGGATAGGATGAGAGGAGAGGAGAAGAGAGGAGAAGAGAAGAGAGGAGAGGAAGATAAGATAAGAGGAGAGGAGAGGATAAGATAAGAAGATAAGATAAGATAGGAGAGGAGAGGATAAGAAGATAAGATAGGATAGGATAGGATAGGATAGGATAGGATAGGATAGGATTGGGCAGTGGGGGCGAACCTATGGCACGTGTGCCAGAGGCGGCACTCGGATTTCTCTCTGTGGGCACACGTGCCGTTGCCCCAGCCTCGCCTCCCCCTACGATTCCCTCCTCACCAACAGCCCCCCTGGAGGAGAGTCACCCCCAAGCGTGACCCACCCAGAGCAGCACAGCCAAGGACATGGCAGCCAGGCAGCGTAGACAAGACTGCCCTCATGCCTCATCCCGCACAGTTGATGCTGTGGGGCGCGGGCAGAGGGTGTGGCCGCCATGGCGCTGCTGGGCTGCCTGGGCAATCTGCGGTGGGCCCTGGAGCGGGTGAGTGGCCCTGTGGGCAGGTGGGGTGGGGGATTGGGGGGCAGGGCAGGGCGTGGAGCATCGGTGGGGCCAGTTTTTGGGCACTCGGTCTCTAAAAGGTTCGCCATCACTGGTATATAGCACGTGTATATGTGTGGTAGGTATGTGTATGGGTAGACATATTCTTTCTTTTGAGAGCAGGCAACAGAATTTCATTTTTTTTATTGAAAATTTTTATAAGTTTTTACAAAAAAACAGAAAAAAATATAACAATACAAAAACAGAAAACAACATATACAAAAAACTAAACATAACATCCCCTTCCCCATCCCCCCCCAAAACACCCCCCCTTCCCCCCCCCTGAGCTTCCCAGAGCAGAATGTAGGCTTAATTTAAAAAGAATTTAAAAAATTATATATAAAAAAGAAAAAAAAATAAGACTGAAATATATGTATATAAAAATAAGAATTATGAAAAAGCAATATGATATTTTTTTAAATCCAATTTAAATTGTATAAATTCTATCCATTTATCTCTCCTCTCTCCTCTTATTTTATATCTTATGTCTTATATCGTATATGTTATATCAGGGGTCTTCAAACTTGGCCCTTTTATGACTTGTGGACTTCAACTCCCAGAATTCCTCAGCCAGGCATGCTGGCTGAGGAATTCTGGGCGTTGAAGTCCACAAGTCATAAAAGAGCCAGGTTTGAAGACCCGTCTTATATCTTATATCTTCTTATATCTTATATCTCATCTTATCGCATCTTACCTTATCTTACCTTATCTTATCATCTTATCTTGCCTCACTTCACCCTATACAATGTCTGAAGGCAAAGCTGTTCCACTGGTTAATTGTCCTCACTGTTAGGAAGTTTCTCCTTAATTCTAGGTTGCTTCTCTCCTTGATTGGTTCCCACCTGTTGCCTCTTGAATTGCACTCTGGTGCTTTGGAAAATAAACTGACCCCCTCCTCTTTGCGACAGCCCCTCAAATATTGGAATACTGCTATCATGCCCCTCCCCCAGCCCTTCTTTTCTCTAGACTAGCCAAACCCAAATCATATGTTCATATGTTCATATTAGTAAAGTTGGAAGGGACCTTGGAGGTCATCTAGTCCAACCCCCTGCTCGGGCAGGAAACCCTACACCATTTCGGACAAGTGGCTGTCCAGTCTCTTCTTAAAAACTTCCAGTGTTGGAGCATTTACTGCTTCTGGAGGCAAGCTGTTCCACTGATTAATTGTTCTCACTGTCAGGAAGTTTCTCCTTAGTTCTAGGTTGCTTCTCTTCTTGATTAGTTTCCACCCATTGCTTCTTGTCCTGCCTTCAGGTGCTTTGGAAAATAGCTTAATTCCCTCTTCTTTATGGCAGCCCCTGAGATATTGGAATACTGCTATCATGTCCCCCCTTGTCCTTCTCTTCATTAAACTAGACATACCCAATTCTAGCAACCGTTCCTTATATGTTTTAGCCTCCAGTCCCCTAATCATCTTTGTTGCTCTTCTCTGTACTCTTTCTAGAGTCTCAACATCTTTTTTACATCGTGGTGACCAAAACTGGATGCAGTATTCCAAGTGTGGCCTTACCAAGGCATTGAAGAGTGGTATTAATACTTCACGTGATCTTGATTCTATCCCTCTGTTAATGCAGCCTAGCACTGTGTTGGCCTTTTTGGCAGCTGCAGCACACTGCTGGCTCATATTTAGGTGATTGTCTACTAGGACTCCGAGGTCCCTCTCACAGTTACTACTATTGAGCATGGTGCCACCTATGCTGTACTTGTGCATTTGGTTTTTCTTGCCTAAATGTAGAACCTTGCTTTTTTCACCATTGAATTTCATTTTGTTAGTTAGTGCCCAGTGTTCAAGTCTGTCCAGATCCTTCTGTATCTTAAGCCTGTCTTCTGGAGTGTTGGCTATTCCTGCCAGCTTGGTGTCATCTGCAAATTTGATGAGTTCCCCATCTATCCCTTCATCCAAATCGTTGATGAAGATGTTGAAGAGTACTGGGCCCAGAACAGAGCCCTGGGGCACCCCACTACACACTTCCCTCCATATAGATGCAGTTCCATTGAGGACCACTCGCTGAGTACGGCCGGTCAGCCAGCTACGGATCCATCTGGTGGTGGTTCTGTCTACCCCACATTTTTCTATCTTGTCAAGTAGTAGGTTGTGATCTACTTTATCAAATGCCTTACTGAAGTCCAAGTAAATTATGTCCACAGCATTCCTCTGATCCACTAATTTTGTCACTTGGTCAAAGAATGCAATAAGATTTGTCTGGCATGATCTATTTTTGACAAACCCATGTTGGCTTTTAGTAATGACTTTGTTTGCCTCTAGGTGTTCGTTGATTCGTTGTTTGATTATCTTTTCCAGGATCTTCCCAGGTATTGAGGTCAGGCTGATAGGTCTGTAATTTCCTGGATCCATTTTTTTTCCTTTTTTGAGGATGGGAACTACATCAGCTCTTTTCCAGTCCTCTGGTAGTTCCCCTGTGTTCCAGGATCTTTGAAAAATATAGTTCAGTGGCTCCGATATCACATCTGCCAGTTCCTTGAGAACTCTGGGGTGTAATCCATCTGGTCCTGGCGATTTGAACTCATCTAGGCTGGACAGGTGCTCCCTAACGATTTTCTTGCCTATCTTAACTTGTGTTTCTGTTTTGTTTTTTATGGCACTATTTTTGATAGGTTGGTCTGTTTTTTCCCTTTGTGTAAAGACAGATGCAAAAAATGAGTTAAATAGTTCTGCTTTCTCCCTGTTGCTTGTCACCTTCTTGCCACTTCCACCCACTAATGGACCAATCATTTCCTTCACTTTTTTCTTGTTTTTTACATGTTGAAAGAAGCTTTTTTTGTTATTTTTGACTTTGGTCGCAAGCCTTAGTTCATTTTGAGCCTTGGCTTTCTTCACTTCATCTTTGCAGGCTCGGGCTATTTGCTGATATTCTGACTTAGTTATGTTCCCCTCTTTCCACTTTCTATACTTGTCCTTTTTATCTTTCAATTTGTCAGAGAGTTCTTTATGCAGCCATGCTGGTTTCTTTTGGGAGCTGTTGTTTTTCCTCTTTGTTGGTATTGTGCTAGACTGTGCTTTTATTATCTCATTTTTCAAAATTTCCCAAGCTTCTTGAGTTGTTTTCCCCTTGAGGATTCTCATCCATGGAATCCTTCCCAAGCCCTCTCTAAGTTTATTGAAATTAGCTCTCTTGAAGTCCAAGACTCTAGTTTGACTGTGTTCTATTGCTTGTGCTTCTATAATGTTCAACTGTTCTTCATATGTTTCAGTCTCCAGGCCCTTAATCATCTTAGTTGCTCTTCTTTGCACTTTTTCCAAAGTCTCAACCTCTTTTTTTTGTAATGACCAAAACTGGATGCAGGAATTCACAGCTGGCAGCGTGTGATCGGCTGCGATCTGAGCAAAGATGGCCACAAGAGCGGAATTTACCAGTATGGCTACGATGGGGAAGACTTCATCAGCCTGGATCAGAAGACCCTCACCTGGACCGCGGTCGACATCCGCGCTCAGGTGACCAAGAGAAGGTGGGAAGCTGAACCTTTCATCGCCCAGAGCAGGAATAACTTTTTGGAGCAGGAATGTATCGAGCTGCTTCAGAAGTGCATGGTGTATGGAAAGGAATCTCTGCTGAGGATAGGTGAGAAAGAAAGGAGGGAGCCAAGGGTCGGTGATGTCGCAGGAGAGCACCAGATCTGTGGTGCAATGTCTCCGTACTATACCTGTGCAGTCTTAAAATATGCCGGTGTTGTGTTCTCTACAGAGCCCCCAGTGGTGAAAGTAACTCGCAGGACCCAGTACAATGGCCTGGAGACACTCGTCTGCAGAGTGTACGGCTTTTATCCCAAAGAGATGGATGCCACCTGGAGGAAGGATGGGGAAGTCTGGGAGCAGGACACCTTCCGGGGTGGTGTTCTTCCAAACTCATATGGGACCTACCATGCCTGGCTGAGCATTGAGGTTGACCCAAAGGAGAGGGACCGCTATTGGTGCTATGTGGATCATGTCGGGTTTCCGGAACCTCTGATTGTGGCCTGGGAGGAACCTGGTGAGAGAAGGGGGAGGGCACCAATGGAATATGAGCAAAGTTGTTCCTAGAGTGTCTGTGGTCATACAACCTAATGAAAGCGCTGATGGTTCACCCAATGCGTTGACTCTAAATTGGTCAAAGGTTGGATTCGCTCAACATGCCAGGCCCTAAGAGATCTAACCTAAGTTCAGGCGAACCCTTGAAATAGTCCAGTGTATTCAGCAAGTCAGACCTACTCAGATGGGACCTGCCATGCCTGGCTGAGCATCAAGGTTGACTCAAAGGAGAGGGACCGCTATCAGTGCTATATGGACCATTCCGGGCTTCCAGAACCTCTGATCCTGGTCTGGGAGGAGCCTGGTGAGAGAAGAGGGGGATGTCACCAGTTGAATCAGAATCAGAATAGAGCTGGAAGAGACCTTGGAGGTCTGCTAGTCCAGCACCCTGCTCAAGCAGGACATACTATACCAGTGGTGGCGAACCTATGGCACGCATGCAGGAGGTGGCATGCAGAGCCCTCTCTCTGGGCATGCGTGCCATTGCCCCAGCCCCACCTCCCTCTGTGGCCCCCTCTTCACCAGCACCCCTCTGGAGGAGAGTCACCCCTGGATGTGGCCCGCATGGAGCAGCGCAGCCAAGGACATGGCAGCCGGGAAGCAGGGACAAGACTCTGCCCTTGCGCCCCATCACACGCAGATGATGCTGTGGGGCATGGGTGGAGGGCATGACCACCATGATGCTGCAGGGCCACCTGGGCGATCTGCTGCAGTGGGCTGTGGAGGTGGTAAATGGCCCTGCAGGTGGGTGGGGTGGATGCAGAGTGGGGGTAGAGTGGGAGTGGGGCGGTTTTTGGGCACTCGGTGTCTAAAGGTTTCACCATTACTGTCCTATACCATTTCAGACAAGTGTCTGACTAGTCTCTTCTTAAAAACCTCCAGTGATGAAGCACCCACAACGTCTGAAGGCAAGGTGTGCCACTGGTTAATTGTCCTCACTGGTAGGAAGTTTCTCCTTAGTTCCAGGCTGCTTCTCTCTTTGATCAGTTTCCATCTATTGTTTCTTGTCTTGCCTTCAGGTGCTTTGGAAAATAAGTTCTATGCCCTCTCTCCCCTCCACGTGGGTCCACAAAGCCAGAAAGGTTGGAGACTGCTGTTGTAGAGCACCATGCCTTAGTTAACTCAGTCTTGGTGCCCTCTCTCTGAGACCGGGAAACTCTAGGGAAGAAAAATCCCAGGTCACCTTTAGTCATTTTACCCTTTTTTCTAACAGTCTTTGTGCCCAACATGGGGCTCGTGGCCGGAGTTGTGGGGGTCGTGGTGGCTACAGTCTTCATTGCTGCTGGAATGATTGTCTATATCAGTAAGTATCTCTTGGGTGGGCACAGGGTGTGTCATTCACAAAAAATGTGGGAGGGGCTCTCAACCTCCACACCGCCAAACCTGTATTTCCCACAATTTCCTGATCAGGCTCACTCTGAACATGGCCTCCAAACCTACTGAAGAGGAGGCCTGGTCTACATAACATCTTGAGATAGTGTTTCTCAACCAGGTCAGCTAGAAGATGTGTGGACTTCAATTCGTGCTGGCTGGGGAACTCTGGGAATTGAAGTCCACACATCTTCAAATTGACAAGGTTGAGGAACATTGCTCTAAGCCAGAATACTGAGCTTGGTTTGTTTTTAAGCACGTTGCCTGAATGTCAACCTCCACCCCTAATAACCATATAAAGTCCAGGATTTCTTTCATTTCCGAAAATCTAGCTGGTGTATTGAATACGTGGCGTGGTACAGGCAAAGGAAAACTAACTCTAAAATCCAAAGACATCTAACCAAAGCATATAAACAATGACATTCCCAGCCAAACCTCCCAGATGTCCACGTAGTTCATGTAAATACCTTCTCTGTCATGGTTCTGACAGATGAAACTCTTCAAAGAACTTTGAGGCATTGTTTACCTTAAAGAATCTTTATTCAAGTGCCATAGCTTCGGCACATACATAGTTGAAGCCAAAATCTGGATTCCCCTCCCCTGAGCACATAGTACCAAACACAATTCCCTCCTCTAATTAACAGTCATAAACCACATTCTCCAATTAGTTTGAAATGCAGGCTTTCCCTCCTTTATTCCAACCCGCCATTTCTTATCATCTCTTATTTCAAAAGCCCTGAGTTCACACATTATTACAATATTATTATGTCTAACTAACTCCCATCATATTCCTCCTCTCTCACCCCCCAGTGTCATCTAATTCTAAGAGTAAAGCATAAGAAAGAAAAAGGCTGCATCTCCATATGTTGTCAAAGGAAGAACATCCAATGTTAGCAGCGTTGACATCCTCGTTGTTTGGAGAACCATCTGCTATCTTCTTCACAGCAGTTAGAATGTCCTTGAAAAGCTTCCATACATCTTTTCATCGACAAATGTCTGCAGAACTGGAGAGGCTTCATTTCTCTAACTAACCCATTTGAAGCCTCGTCTGTCTCCCCCCACTTACTCTAATGACAAGATGAAAACAATAAGGCATGTAGCTGCCAGGTTTTCATTCTTGACACTGAACTTGTTAGTTTTGGTACACAACCTGGGAGTTCCATAGCTAACTCATCTTCACAGGCTTCAAAAAAAAAAAAAAAGCAGAGCTGGGCTTATTTAGTGTTGGGATGGGAGGCCACCAAGAAATTCAGAGGTAAGCTGAAATTGGGAAGTCCAAGAACTAATCAACATTGATCCTGCATAGCTTGTTCAATCCTGCCGAGGTCAACTGGGGACATGCTCACACCCTGCATTTGTTGACCATTCCCTTCTTCCAAGAGGGTTTTCCGACTTCCACAGTCCAGCCCATAGCTTTCTGAGGCTGCTGGAGGAAACACAGAGGCTCTGAATCTCTACCAAAGGCCGATGGGGAAAATGAAGGATCTCTAAGTGGGAACATTGTCACTGACTTCTTGATTCTGTTTTGCAGAAAAATATGGCAGAAACACTTGCAGAACGGCATCAGGTGAGTGACCTTGTAACATAATTTTGGTACAAGTTGCCTTTGGGATGGAAGGGGTATTCTAAACCATATAGCTCTATGTAACCTCATATAGCTCTATGTAACCCTAACTAGAGAGCATATATCAGTATGTTAGAATATCTGGCAGTTATTGGGTTAAATGCTGATTTGTTAATGGGTCAGTGGGAGGAGTTTCTAAAGGGCATTGGGAGACTTCCTGAACACAAGCCAAATTGGAATGTCTTTGTCTGAAAGAAGCATGGGCCATCAGATGTCACCCCGATGAGCCTGCGCCGTTATAAAGATGGTATAGAAGAGAGCATCATCGTTTTACCTATAGGAATGGACAAAAGATGTATTTTCCAGAAGTAACAACACAGCATGAATGCAAGTAATCTTTCTGATTAAAAATATATTTTTTGTTATGAAACCATTTCCATTATCTATCTGACTTGATTTAAAAGAAGGCATTTTTAACTCAAAGTCAGAATAAGGGGGAACCATCCTGATTAGCCCAAATGAAGCAGTGGCAGATTTACACCTTCCCTGCCAATGAGAAATATAGGATCTTGCTACATTAGGCAGTCCTCAGCCTACAATCATTCATTTAGCGACCGTTTGAATTTACAACAGCACTGAAAAAAGTGACTTATGACCATTTTCACACTTGCAGTATCCCCATGGTCACATGATCACAATTTGGATGCAGTGTCCCGGGGTCATGTGATCCCCTTTTGTGACCTACTGACAAGCAAAATCAATGGGGAAGCCAGATTTACTTAACAACTGTGTGACTAACTTAACAACTGCATTGATTGGCTCAACAACTGTGGCAAGAGAGGTCGTAAAATAGGGTGAAAGCCCTTGAACAATTACCTGTAGAAATAAGTGTGTATGTATCCATATTTTTACTCATTTATTCATTAGAATTTTCTAAACTGCCCAGCAGTCAAATCTCTCTGGGCAAAATTCACAATCAAAAATTGGGCGAAACATATACAAGCTGTAGCAAAAGTCAGGCCCCGTCGGCGAACCACAATATGTTTTACTAATTTTTTTTCCCCCAGCCCTGATCCAGAGACAAAACTCTAGAGATAGAAAAGTGGCAATGAATAAAACTTAATTCTTGGGGGTGCATAATAACCCCCCTGAAACTTTTGCATAAGAGTTTATTTGAGGAAAAGAGAGGAAAGTGATGCTGGAGCAGGGTAACTTGTGGTGGGGCCAACATAAGCAAAACGATAAGCATGGTCAGTTTTTTGCAGAAGAACACACACACACACACACACACACACACCATCCAAGGTATTTCCATAGACAACAATAGGGGGCCATCATCTTTGCCTTCCTGCTATATTTTAGAAAAATTACTACTGAGGCCTGACAGTATTTGACTGCATTGTTGTTGTTGTTTTTAACAATGTCCATCACATTCATGCAGAACAGATTTTGCAAAACCCTATTCTAGAGCAGGGCTCTCAAAACCTGGCAACTTTAAGTCTTCTGGACTTCAACTCCCAGAATTCCCCAGCCAGCATGAAGAGTTGAAGTCCATAAGTCGTAAAGTTGCCAAATTTGGAAATCTCTATTCTAGGTCAGAGGTCCCCAACCTTTTAGGTACCAGGGGCCAGTTCCGTGGAGAGAGGTTTTTCGGTGACCAGAGGGGGCGTGGTATAATAATAATAATAATAATAATAATAATAATAATAATAATAATAATAATAATAATAATACCACTTGAACACCATTGGCATTGACAAATTCGCTATTAGTCAATTGCAAAAGGCGGCCTTATTAGGAACTGCTTCCATCCTGCGACGATACCTGTAATACCATCAAACATCCACATCTGCCTATCCCAGGTCCTGGGTAGGACTCGATAGGTAGACAAAATGCCAAATCCAGTCTGAACATCTGGCTGACTGTGCGATAATCCATAATAATAATAATACGTCGCAGATACACAGTGATGGAAAACAAAGAATAATGATCTTTACTACAGATCAGTCCAACAAGAAGAGGATATCTAAAAAACGAATGCACCAGTTCTGGAAAGAACAACATCCAGAATCAGAAATAACAGAACAGAGACTAGCAGATCAACGCCGATTTATAACACGAAATAAAATATTCACAGAAACAGATTTGGACGAACTGCAAAGGTTTACCCAGGGCAAAGAAATCAAAGCCTTACCAGAATAATTCAGAATGTAAAGGCAAACCAGGGGGATTTGCAGTGAAGGAATCTAGCAGAGATATACAACTGTTCTCATTTGGAAACCAGGCACCTCTACCTCAGGAAGAACAAAACCCTCTAACTAAAGAAATAAAAGAATTGAAACAAAGAATAACTGAGCATCTAGAACAGCACAAAAACAACAGAATAAGGCTACCTGCATTGAAGCTTGTTCCAAAGAAACAGCTAGCACAAGCATTAAAAGATGCAAATACTGCAATATCAAGTATAAGCACCAATTCACTGCAAGAAACAAACCAACTAATGTACAGCACAGCTGCAGTTATAACTGAATACCTGGGATGCAAAATCAACAAAGAAGAAAAACAAACAAACAGTGCACCAGAAAAATGGAAGGTTAGACTAGAAAATAAGATCAGCAAGTTAAGATCACATGCAAGCAAGCTAGAACAGATGAAAGAAAAGAAGCTGAAGAACAAGAAGACCAAAGAATACCTAATCAAGAAATACCACTTAGAAACAAGGAAGATCAAGGAAGCACTGGAAATAATAAAGCAACAAATAACAGCTATAGCCAGGAAAATCAGTAGATATGAAGCTCGAATTGCAAACTATAGGCAGAACCTCCAATTTCAATCCAATCAGAAACGTTTCTACCAATCCATCAATGGAGAAACTGCAAGGAATCAGTCAGTACCTGACAAGGAAGAAACAGTGCAGTTCTGAAAGCAGATATGGGATAACCCAAAGAAATACAACAAGGATGTGGCTTGGTTAAAAGAGGTGGATGCAAATAAAACAGAAGTTGAAATGAAAGAACTAGTAATAACAACAAAAATGGTAGAAAAAAGAGCAAGGGAAATCAAAAATTGGTCAGCACCAGGTGAAGATGAACTGCATGGGTTTTGGTTGAAACATCTAACTGTTATACACCCACTCATTGCCAAGCAGTTCAACAATATACTACAAGGAGGAGAAATTGAAAAGTGGCTAACAACTGGGAAAACCTACCTAATAATGAAAAATCCAGCAAAAGGGGCAACACCAGGTAACTACAGGCCAATTACCTGCTTACCAACAACTTTCAAATTACTAACTGGTGTGGTAGCTGATGCAGTACAACAGCATCTAGTTGAAAACAATCTCTTTCCACCTGAGCAGAAAGGAAACCGCCCCAATAGCAGAGGAACAAAAGATCAACTCCTAATAGACAAAATGATCTTGGAAAACTGCAAGAGAAGGAAGACCAACCTGAATGTGGCATGGATTGACTACAAAAAGGCATTTGACTCTCTGCCACATGATTGGATAATCAAGTGCCTAGAAATAACAGGAGTCAGTAGAAACATCAGAAAATTTGTGCAAAGATCGATGGCACAATGGAAGACACAGTTGCAGATCAATAGTGAGAAGCTGGGAGAGGTTAATATCAAGAGAGGAATATTTCAAGGAGATTCATTATCACCATTACTATTTGTTATTGCACTGTTTCCTCTGTCAACAATACTGAATACCTCAGGACATGGCTATCAACATCAATAAACATCTGCTTAGAGCTATCCCATCCTCCTTTACATGGAGATCTGAACGGTATGAAAACATCATCTGAAATGAATCGCTGCTCACACTGTCCGTATATATGTAGCCAAATTATTGTAATGGAGTTTGGCTTTGACAAATGTGCCACACTTACTATCAAACAAGGAAAAATAGTGAAAACTGAAGGAATCAAGATGCCCCGCAAAAATAACATTAAGAGTCTGGATGAGGAAGAGTACTACAAATACTTGGGTATCCTTCAAGCTGACAACATCAAGCACAATGAAGTCAAGAAAAAGATTAGAGGTGAATACATCAAGAGAGTGAAGAAAATCTTAAAGTCCAAACTCAATGGAGGAAATACCATAAAGGCAATCAACACCTGTGCAATTCCAGTCATTAGGTACACAGCTGGAATAGTGGACTGGACTCAAGCAGAACTAAAAGCAATGGATAGGAAGACCAGAAAAATAATGACAATGAATCATGCCCTTCCTCCACGCAGTGACATTGACAGACTTTATCTACCAAGGCAAATAGGTGGGCGTGGAATGCTACAAGTACATCAGATGGTTGAAGAAGAAAAAATGGCTTTGGAAGAATATCTGAAGAACAATGATGAAGATGCACTGAAATTAATATATCAGGAAGGTTTACTAACTACTGGAGAGACCAAAGTGGCCTACAAGAAAGACCAAATGAAGAACAGAATAGAGGCATTGGAAGACAAAGCACTACATGGCCAATACATGAAAAAAATAGCTGGGAAAGCAGATAATAATAAAACCTGGCAATGGCTAAGAGCAGGAAAATTGAAGAAAGAGACCGAGGGACTAATTCTGGCTGCACAAGACCAAGCCTTAAGGACAAATGCATACAAAGTCAAAATTGAGAAGACAGCAACAGACAGTAAGTGCCGCCTATGCAAAGAAGCTGAAGAAACAGTGGACCACTTGGTAAGCTGTTGCAAGAAGATTGCACAGACTGATTACAAGCAGCGGCATGACAAAGTAGCAACAATGGTGCATTGGAAGATCTGCAAAAAATATCATTTGCCTGTAAGCAAAAACTGGTGGGATCATAAATAGAGAAAGTCATAGAAAATGATAAAATTAAACTGCTCTGGGACTTCAGAATTCAAACAGACAAGCACCTGCAACATAACACCCCAGACTTAACAATTGTCGATAAGAAAGACAAAAAAGTCTGGATAGTGGACGTGGCAGTGCCTGGAGACAGCAGAATAGAGAGAAAGAACTGGAGAAGATAACAAAATACAAAGACCTACAAATAGAAATAGAAAGACTGTGGCAAAAGCAAGCAAGGGTAGTACCAATAGTCATAGGCTCCTTGGGTGCAATCCCAAAACAACTGGAGCACCACTTGAACACCATTGGCATTGACAAATTCGCTATTAGTCAATTGCAAAAGGCGGCCTTATTAGGAACTGCTTCCATCCTGCGACGATATCTGTAATACCATCAAACATCCACATCTGCCTATCCCAGGTCCTGGGTAAGGACTCGATAGGTAGACAAAATGCCAAATCCAGTCTGAACATCTGGCTGACTGTGCGATGATCGATAATAATATGGACAAATGGCTGTCCAGTCTTTTCTTAAAAACTTCCAGTGTTGGAGCATTCACCGCTTCTGGAGGCAGGTTGTTCCACTGGTTAATTGTTCTAACTGTCAGGAAGTTTCTCCTTAGTTCTAGGTTGCTTCTCTCCTTGATTAGTTCCCATCTGTTGCTTCTTGTCCTGCCTTCAGGTGCTTTGGAGAACAGCTTGACTCCTTCTTCTTTGTGGCAGCCCTGAGATATTGGAAGACTGCTATCATGTCCCCCCTTGTCCTTCTCTTCATTAAACTAGACACACCCAATTCCAGCAACCGTTCCTTATATGTTTCAGCTCCAGTCCCCTAATCATCTTTGTTGCTCTTCTCTGGACTCTTTCTAGAGTCTCAGCATCTTTTTGTGTGCTGCTTGCATCCCATGGATGGGGCTTTCCTTGTTTGTGTGGACTGTTTGCTGGCATGCCGTGGCCCGGTACTGGTCCACAGACCGGGGGGTTGGGGACCCCTGTTCTAGGGTATATGACAGTTAATGGGAGATGACAGATAGCAAGAGGAAATTATGTGTTGTTTTTTTTAAAGTGTACACATGGGAGATATCTGAGTTTTGCATTTCTTGTGTGCGATCCCTTAGATATATTGTCTGGCTAAAGGGGACACTCCACTTCAGTGGTGGGCCTTATCCGGGATAACAATGAAGATCCTTTTTTAAATTTTTTTTATTTTAGACCAACAAAACAAAGCACAACAAAACATTACACACATACACACGTAATATATCCTTTTTTGCTGACAGCAATTTGTAACAGTACTCTTCTATTCTTTACATTTCCCCCCCTCATTCTTCTTTGAAATATTTGTCCTTATTGCCCCATTGTTTCTTATTTACGTTTTCCTTCTTTCATATTCTACTACTTACTAGGAATCCAACATTATTCATTGTAGTAACTCTCGTATTTTTTATAGGACTCGACCGGAATTCCATCCAGGCCTGGTGATCATACAAATATTCTCATAGTCCAAATCCACTAGCTTCTTATATACCTTATTTTTTTAAAAAAAGATTCACATTAGTTATTATTTAGTGCATATACTGTTTTTACTCTAATACTATTAACAATGAAGATACTTATAGGGAAGAGATGAAGGCTCTGGTGGACTGGTGCAATAAAAGTAACCTGGTTCTAAATGCTAATAAAACAAAAGAGATCATTGTAGATTTTAGAAAGAGATGGCATAGCTATACTCCACTTTGTATCAAGGCTGCAGATGTGGAGGTGGTCAACAGTATTAAGTATCTGAGGGTGCAGATAACTAACACTCCAACTTGGTCTCTCCACACGTCATCCTTAGCAAAGTGTGCAAACCAGTGTCTGCATTTCCTGTGTTGGATGAGGAGAGCACACCTTTCTCCTTCTGTCCTGGCCACGTTTTACAGAGGCGCGATTGAGAGCGTTTTAACAAACTGCATCACTGTTTGGTTTGGTGGTAGCAGAGTCTCAGATAGAAGGTCCATACAGAGAGTGGTGAGGACAGCTGAGAAGATTATAGGAAGCTCATTTTTCATGATTCAGGATACTGCTTATAAGAGCTATGTGCTTAGAGCTCGAGGCATTGTTAGAGACCCCACACATCCACTTCACGGTCTGTTTCTGTTGCTCCCCTCTGGGAGGAGGTTTAGAAGTATTTCTAGTAGGACTACCAGATCCTGTAACAAGCTTTGTTCCCTATGGCATCCGTCTGGTAAATTTGCAAGATTCGTTTTTCTTGTCATGTATATGTATACATCTGAACTAGACTGTGTTGTTTCTCTGGGCCATATATGTATGTGTGTATGTAGGTATAGGCATAATTTATTTTATTTATTTTTGGTCATGTTTACACAGTGTATATTGGAGGCGATTACCCTCTGAGAGCTATATGCAATGAAATCTCATTTTAATGGATGCTTTAATGTATAATAACAATAACGTTATTATTCTATTCTATTCACCCTGAGTCTTGATTTTTCTCCTCTTTGTTACAGCCAGCATATAGGATTTTGAAAGTCCTCCAGTGGTAAGTAGTTCGTACAAGACTGTAAGATCACGTCTCTTTCATCAGAGGGAAAAAAATTAAAATCCTCAGTTCTGCGACAAAACGTTCTGTTCATTCATTCATCAAGTTTATGCAGCCATCCATCTCATCGAAAGCAACTCTGGGTGGCATATTCCCCATCCCATTAACAATGAGATTGCCTTATCGGGACCCCCCTTGTCAGCCTGAATTCAGCGTGTTGTACTGCTCTTCAGGATTTGCAAAGTGGAATACAAGGAAGTGGATTCCATGGCTGAAGCAAGATTGGAATTCGGGTCTTCTCTCTCCTAGTCCAGCACCTTTAACATTATCTGTAATGGTTCTTGTGAAAAACCTTGAGTGAAAGGGAAGAGGAAATGTGCTGAAAAAAGGGTCAGATAAGAGAGGCCTTAGCCCACAGCTGCATAATGCGCAGGATAAGAAGCTTAGGCTGTGAAGGAGACTGCAGGAGATTTGCACCTTCAGACTTGCAAGGTTTTGTTAATGTAGCTTTTCAATGATGTGGAATTAGCTCATCTAGTCATGTCTCCTGTCTGATCTACTTGGGAAATTGGACATTTACCCTGACTGGGTAATTGGACATTTACCTGCCTATCAGTGGTGATATCTGTCGAAGCTCTTGGATCAACCTCATTCTGCCATTTTCTTGTTCCATTATACATCCCCATTAGCCCAAAGATGCTTTTTCACAGGGCAACTGAACTTTCTTGTTTTTCTTTGAAGACATTTCGCTTCTCATTCAAGAAGCTTCTTCAGCTCTGACTGGATGGTGGGGAATGGAAGGATTTATACTCGTTGCAGACAGCTGTCTTCTTAAGATGCAAAGTGGGGTGGGTCCTTACATTAGACAGGACTTGCAAAATTAATCCACCTGGAAGGGAGACACTTGCCGGGGGATTTTGCAAAAAATTTACCATGTCAGACAATGGAGAACTCCCTGGAAAGAGAGCCACTGACCCAGTTGGAACCTTGCCAGATGTTGGGATCTGAGAGGTCAGATTCCTCGGGAGAAGAAGTGGTGGAGACACAGGACCACAAGCCTCGCTGGTCGATGAACGTTGGAAAGAAAAGTGAGTGGAGAAAGGAATCAAGAAAGGTGACCCTGAGACGGGGGGCCAAGCAACCAGAATGGAAGCAGGAGATGGAGAAATCCCTGCATGCAAGTGAAGAGGGAGGAAGCTGGGCACCGTACTCAGACTGGATCCTAGAGAAAGCTATTGACCTGATGAAGAGAACTCTCAGTTCCCTAGGAGAGGAGAATACTAAGCCCTACGGCCGCCCCAGTTCCTGGAGCCACAAAGGGAGAGACACCGAGTGGGACGTGGAACCTGCAACCCCAGGGACATCTACTGATCCAGGAGCCCCCACCCCCTACCGGACCATAGATGGCAATCTGGACGGAAGACACTACCACCCACAACGGAGGCACCGATCCATTCCAAGACGTCCACCGTTGGAGGTGAAATTCAAAGGGGAGCCAACACGCTTGGGATTTTTCCTAACCCAAGTCCTCAGCTACATGGAGGAATATGGGCAGGACATTCCCAGCAACAAAGCCCGCATCCGGATCGTGCAATCTGCCCTGGATGGACCAGCTGCGGATTGGGTAGTGAACTTGCATGACTCCAATGCCCCAGAACTCAGTAACTTCAACCGTTTCATTTCCTCTTTGAGAAGACGATTTGAAGACCCCCTGGCTGATCGCAAAGCCCGTGAAAGAATAACAACGATGAGGCAGGGCAAACGCCCAGTGGCTGAGTATACACAAGAATTCCGGGCCCTTGCCAGCAAACTGAATTGGCCAGAAGACATCCTCCTTGGCCATTTCAAAGACGGACTAAACTATGATCTATCTGATGCTTGCCTGCCCCGAGGGGACCCACATCGACTTGAGGAATGGTACGTCTTGGCAGAGGAAGCAGAGATCGACATATTGAAGAGGCACCGCCAAGGAAAACAATGGAGCCGCCCCCCGCCTGAGCTGACACACCAACCGGTGAAATCATCGGATACAGCCAAGAAGCAAATGGGGTGTTTCAAGTGCGGAAGAGAAGGGCATCGAGCTGTAGAATGCCGCTCAAAGGCCCCCCAGCACAACCCAGACAGATCCCCAATCAACAAACCCAGAGGGTATTCAGCTAAGCCAAAAGAAACAGCCATGAAAATGAGGGAAATTGCAGAAAACCCCACCTCTGCTCACCAAGGGGAAAGAACTCCAGCCTACACCACAGGGACGGTGGATGCCTCAGATGACAGCTCGGAGGGCGAACCCCTGGTAAGTGGATGCATCACACCCATCTTCAAAACAGTGACTATATTAATCCCCCCATGCCCGAAGCTGTGAAGGTGAAAGCTTTAATAGACTCTGGCTGCACCCGCTGCCTCATTAGCCCAACACTAGTGGGGACTCTGGGCATCCCATTCAGGAGACTGGAACAACCAATCTCATTTGGCCAGCTAATGGATCCATAAGCATGGGGGGGTTCGGCTACCCTACCACTTCTGTCAATAATCTCTCCCTGGGCAACCATGAAGAGGACTTAACGTTTGTGGTGACCCCAGGTATGGAATGCCCAATGATTCTAGGAATGGAATGGTTGAAAAAATGGAACCCCTGGGTAAATTGGAGGACGACAGAAATCAAATTCCCGAAGGGAGACCCTATGGACTTAAAACCCCAAGGGAGGCTACCAGAATCAAGAATAGAAAAAGCATCCATAGGAGAGGAAAAAGGATTAACAGAAATACCAGAGGAATATAGGGATCTTGCTGAAGTCTTCAGTGAGGAGAGGGCGAATGAGCTTCCCCCCCACCGACCCACAGACTGTACCATTGAATTCAAGCCTGGGGCAAAACTCCCGAAGCCCAGATTATACTCCATGAGCCCAAAGGAGAGGAGGAAATGGAAAGATTTATAAAAAAAAACCTGGAGAGAGGTTTCATTGAGCCAGCCAAGCCTAAAGTGGCTGCCCCGGTCCTTTTTAGAGAGAAGAAGGATGGCTCTTTACGCTTATGCGTGGATTATAGGGCCCTGAATACAATCAGTGAAAGCAACCTATACCTGCTGCCCCTCATGAAAGACATGCTGTCACACCTATCGAAAGGGAAATTTTTTTCTAAACTAGACCTAAGGGAAGCTTACTATCGCGTAAGAATTAAGGAAGGGGACGAATGGAAGACTGCATTTAACTGCCCCATGGGGTGCTATCAATTCAAAGTCTTGCCATTTGGACTACAAGGGGGCCCTGCAGTCTTTATGCAATTAATCAATGAGGTTCTAAGGGAGCACCTGTTTAAGGGGGTCCTTGTTTACTTGGACGACATTCTTATCTTTACTGAAACAAAAGAGGAACACGTCAACCTTGTCAGAGCGGTTTTAAAGAAGCTGCGAGCCGCCCACCTATATGCCAAACTCTCAAAATGCGAATTCCACCAGGAAAGGATAGACTACCTAGGCTATCGCATATCCCACAGGGCATTGAAATGGACCCAGAGAAGGTCAAAGCAGTATTAGATTGGGCACCACCCCGCACAAGAAAAGCAACTACAAAGTTTCCTGGGTTTTGCAAACTTTTACCATCAATTCATCCCCTCATTTGCCCAGATAGCCTTGCCCCTCACTAACTTACTAAAAACGAAGGGAGCATCCTCAGTAAAACCTAGCCAGCCACTAACATGGACAATGGAGTGCCAAGCAGCGTTTGAGAGACTACAGAGACTTTTTTCTGCCGAACCAGTACTAAGGCACCCAGACATGGACAAGCCCTTCGTAATACAGGCAGATGCAAGTGATGTGGCAGTGGGGGCTGTTCTATTACAAGAAAATGATGATGGAGTATTGCAACCCTGTGCATATACATCCAAGAAACTCACGGAAACAGAACAGCGCTGGCCCGTATGGGAGAAGGAGGCTTATGGGATACGTTGGGCATTATTCACGTGGCGACAGTTCCTGGAAGGCAACAAAATCCCCTTCCAGGTGTGGACTGATCACAAAAATTTAGAAGCCCTGAAAACTTCCAGGAAACTCAATCCCAAACAAGCCCGCTGGTCCCAGCATTTTCACCAGTTCCAATTTAAGCTCAAACATTTACCAGGAAGAAATATAACAGCGCACGAACCACAGACTCTAGACCAATAATGGCAGAGTCACAACTGGCAGCAACAGTAACCACAAGAACCCAAGCCAAAATAAAACCACAACTGGACAGCCAAACTGGAATTGAATTCAGAAAAAGTTTGGAAACAGATGAATGGTTCCAGAAAAACAAAAATGTGTGCACAATGAGAGACGGGTTGCCTTGGGTAGGGGAAAAGTTATATATACCAACAACCCAAAGAATCACGTTCATGCAGCTTTGCCATGACACAAAATCAGCAGGACATTTTGGATTTGTAAAAACTTTACACTTAATTAAACGGCAATTTTGGTGGCCATCAATAAAAAAGGACATAGAAAGTTATGTTGCCAGCTGCCCAACCTGTGCATCAGCAAAGAGGTTGCAAGGGAAATCGCCAGGGCTATTACAACCAGTGGCAAGTCCCTCAGCCCCCTGGAGGGAAATAGCCATGGATTTTATAGTGGAATTGCCAGAAAGCAATGGGAATACTGTTATCTGGACAGTCACGGACTTGTTTTCCAAACAGGTGCACTTTATCCCTTGCCAAAAGAGTCCCACTGCAAAGGCCTTAGCAAGACTTTTCATCCAGCACATTTACAGATTGCACGGGGCACAAAATGTGCCTGGAACAAAAAGAGCTTGTCAGAATCCAACTATATTTCATCTTTAATTATCAAATATAGAAACTCCCAATTCTGCCTTCTCTGGATTCTGCCATAAGAGGGAGAGAAGGGGGAGAACAAAGGGGCTTTATGGCCCTCACTTCCTTCAGTATACTGCTAAGGAGCTGAATGCTGAATGTGTGTTTATTGTAACCTCAAAGCGTTAGCACCAAGAACATCACCATAACAAAGAAGGGTATTTGCCTTTCATGTAGTTATCTGAAGTCTCCATCCAGACGGAAGAAAGCATCAAAGGGGTGGAATTGTGATGCCTGAAACTATCACTGGAAGGGGGGTTGATTGGGTGGGACTACTGGGGAACCCCTTAAAACCTTGAATGGGAGAGCTTGGACCCCAAGTCCTGTCTAGCATGCCTGCAACCATTTTCTCTTAATAAAGGATTCCTGTTGGAAGAATTATTCCAAGAGTTCTGTCTTCTTAAGATGCAAAGTGGGGTGGGTCCTTACACAGCTGGTCATTTGCCTTCCTTTAGAGCAGTGGTTCTCAACCTTTTTAATGCCGCGACCCCCAACCGGTCATAAGTCGAGGACTACTCAACCGGTCGTAAGTTGAGGACTACTCAACTGGTGCAGCACCATTTGCAGAATGGGACTTTTGGCGGGCTCAGCAGGGCAGAGGCAGCCTGGACAATTCCTATTGGCTTTTGAAAGCCAATAGAATTAGACTCTATTCAAGAGAGTCTATTCTATTGGCTTTCAAAAGCCTATAAAACAAAAGGGAGTAGCACAGCTAAGGAAAAGGGGGAAAAATGGCGGACTGTGTTGTTTGGAGACCCCCGTGAAATGGTCATTTGACCCCAAATGGGGTCTCGACCCACAGGTTGAGAACCACTGCTTTAGAGAGTCATTGAGGCCACCTGGAGGTTTATCTGTGTCTTCAGGGTCACCTGAGTGGTGCAAATGGGTGTTGAGACTTCTTGGAACTATTGAAAGACTGGAGATAGATGACATTGTATCCCTCCCCCTCTGTTGAGAGAGGGCTGTTCAGTTTTGACATAGATGGCCTCTTTGACCCCTCTTTCAAGCCAGTGGTCCTCTCTGTCCAGCAGAGGGGGAGGGATACAACATCATCTACCTTCAGTCTACAACACAGTCCTTTTAACAGTTCCAAGAAAATTCCACATTCATCTGCCCTACTCAGGTGACCCTGATGACACTGATAAACCTCCAAGTGGCCTCAATGACTCTCTAAAATAATGCAAATGACCAGCTGTCTTCCATTCCCCACCATCCATTTAGAGCTGAAGAAGCTTCTTGGGATGAGAAGCAAAACATCTTCAAAGAAAAACAAGAAAGTCCAGTTGCCTCTTTGGGATAACTATGTTCTGGGATGACTGAGAATCTCCACAGACATCTCCTTTAGCGTCTTCATCATCTGAGTGGACTGCCTGCCTCTTCCTCTCCTTTGTTGAACATTTTTTCTTTGCAGCTGAAGAGTTGTGTATCAAACTGCAAAGAGAAAATCTTTCAGGTTCAGGAAGCTGAACAGCTTTTAAGCCTGGCTTAACTCTCTGCAGAATGGCCTTTGTTCAGCAGACTGCCTTGCGTTGTGAGGATGCTAGTATCAATCTTTTGAGAGCTGGAGGTATAAAGGGCTTATAGGTTCCTGCCAGCTACCTTCTACCCATCCAGGAAATGTCAACATCCAAGCTTGAGAATCCAAATAAAACTGCAGGTTCATTCTATTTCCGAAAATCTTACTGTTTATTGAATGCAGAGCATGGTAATGTCAAAGCAAAACTAACTCTAAGGTTCCCAGACCACCAGTTCATAGAATTAAATAATAATTTCTCTGGCCTAAACTTCGAACCCCTCATGTAGTACATGTAAACAATTTCACGATGTTATGGGAACCGTCTGCTTCTTCTCCACACTTGCTACAGTGTCCTTGGAAAAATTTCAGGCTCTCACGGTCTTCAGTGAAATCGTAGAGGTTTCATTTCTCCATCTAACCCTGGGGTGGGCAACCTTGGCTCTTTTATGACTCATGGACTTCAACTCCCAGAATTCCTGAGCCAGCCATGCTGAGGGGAAAGGGAGAGGTTTCCAAGCTGAGCCATGCTGGCTCAGGAATTCTGGGAGTTGAAGTCCACGAGTCATAAAAGAGCCGAGGTTGCCTACCCCTGATCTAATCCATTCTACAGCAACACCTCCCTCCCCTTTACTCTAATGGCAAGTTGAAATGAAAAGGCACGTTTCATTCTTGACAGGAAGCTCTAATAAGGCAGGCTTCCTTTACATTATCTCTCTACCAAGACAGGGTCCCACCTGAGATCAAATCAGCACCAACCATTGCATTTTGAGGAAGTTATATGATGGTAGGTCCCCTCCTGTGATGGAGCATGACATTCCACAAGTGTAGGGGAAGATTATTGTTATGATTTAGGTCAGTGGTTCTCAACCTTTTTAATGCCACAACCCCCAACCGGTCGTAAGTCAAGGACTACCCAACCGGTCGTAAGTCGAGGACTACCCAACTGGTCGTAAGTTGAGGACTTTCCCTACCCGGGAGCGCCGCACATGTGAGGTGCCGCCCTCTCCGCCGGCTGAGGCGTAGCTGGCAAGGGGCAGCGACAGCGCAGAGTGACCACCGGCTGGGCCACCAGCTGGCCCAGCCCAAGGGAGGTAAGGTACCCGCCGGGCCCCACGCATGCCAGCAACCCTCCCTGTGCCTCCCACCTCCCACCCCTGGCCCTCTTTTACTTACATTTTTAGTAGTTGCTCAGCAGGGAGGGGTGGAAACTTCCAGACAGCTTGCCTTCGCTGCAGACAACTTGCAGCACCGTTTGCAGACTGGGGTTTTTGGTGGGCTCAGCAGGGCAGAGACAGCCTGGACAATTCCTATTGGCTTTTGAAAGCCAATAGAATTAGACTCTATTCAAGAGAGTCTATTCTATTGACTTTCAAAAGCCAATAGAATAAAAGAGAGTAGCACAGCTAAGGAAAAGGGGAAAAAAATGGCGGACTGCGTTGTTTGGCGACCCCCTTGAAATGATCGTTCGACCCCAAATGGGGTCGCGACCCACAGGTTGAGAACTGCTGATTTAGGTGGATTGCATCGTGTTATTGTTATTTATTGTTTATATTCTTTCTGGTTTTTTTAACAGAATTGACATATCGCTTAGAATCAGCTGTACTTAAAGCAGCCTATAAGCCTAGGTAAAAGATAAATAAAAAGACCGAATTGACTGAACAATCTCTGGGAAAACTAGTCAAATCACTGCAACTGAGCCATGTGCAGATCTGTATATTGGGGAAAGAAAACAACCACTTCATAAATGCATGGCACAGCATAGGAGAACATATCCATCTGGACAAGATTCGGCAGTCCATCTGCATTTTAAAAAACAAAGGCCACTCTTTTGAAGAAAGCAAAGTCCACATTTTGGATAGAGAGGACCACTGGTTTGAAAGAGGGGTCAAAGAGGCCATCTATGTCAAAGCTGAACAGCCCTCTCTCAATAGAGGGAGAGGGATACGACATCATCTATCTCCAGTCTACAACACAGTCCTTTCAGCAGTTCCAAGAAGGCTCCACACTCATTTGCACCACTCAGGTGGCCCTAAGGACACAGCCAAAACTCCAAGTGGCCTCAACGACTCTCTAAAAGAAGGCAAATGACCAGCTGTCTGCAAGGAATATAAATCCTTCCATTCCCCCACCATCCAGTCAGAGTTGAAGAAACTTCTTGGATGAGAAGTGAAATGTCTTCCAAGGAAAAACAAGAAAGTCCAATTGCCTCGTGAAAAAGCATCTTTGGGCTAAAGGGGATGTATAATGGAACAAGAAAATGGCAGAATGAGGTTGATCGAAGAGCTTCTACAAGTGAAGTGAAACGTTTTCAAAGAAAAGTCCAGCTGTCTCCTGAAAAAGAACCTTTGGGACAACCATGACCTGGATGACTGAGAATCTCCATAGACGTTTAGGTTACTAAACTATTTTTTGTCCCATGATGATTGCATGTCTAAGTCTCTGCCATTTTTCTCGGCAGGATTTCAGAAGTGGTTTGCTGTTGCCACCTTCCTAGGCCTGAAAGAGAAGGACTGACCCATTATTTCATTTTTAAAATGAATAATAAGGGTGGGAGAGGAATGCCCCCACTCTATGCAGAATGCAGTTTTGATTCCTGAATTAAGCCAATCATCAGAGTTTAGCACTCTCTTGAAACATTAACTAGGTTGGGGCTAACATGCTGCATTCAGATAGGTTCGTTCAGCTTCTGTAATAAGTTGATCAACCATCCTCCTTTAGGGAGGGCAGTCCTCCTTTTTTAAGTTCTGTCCTCCCTCAAAAAGTGTCCTCCTACATGTCCTCCTTTTTGATATTTGAAGACTAATCTGCAGGGCTTTTTTTTCCTCATAGAACGCTCAGAATGGCGTTCCGGCACCTTTTTTGATGGTTTTTTTTCAACTTTTGCATGAGCTGTGCTACTCCCCCTATTGGCTTTCGAAAGCCAATAGGAATTGCTGCTGAGTGCACCAAAACACCCAGCCGGCAAACTTTGCACACGTAAGTTGTCTGCAGCAAAGGCGAATTGGCAGGAACTTTGCACCCCTCCCTGCTACCCAGCTATACCATCTCCTAGTTCAGTGTTTCTCAACCTTGAGAATTTTAAGGCATGTGGACTTCAACTTCCAGAATTCTACAGCCAGCATTGCTGGCTGTGGAATTCTGGGAGTTGAAGTCCACATGCCTTAAAATTCTCAAGGTTGAGAAACACTGTCCTAGTTAGTCCCAAAGATACCTGGAGGAGACTGGAGCGGTGATGCCACGGTAACTTTCTCTTGATCTTCGGCCCTGCTAGGGCAATAATGGCTGCGGGCGCAAGAGGCAGGGGCAGCGGGGCTGCTGCGGGCGGAGGGATGTGAGGGGTGGTGGCGGCCGGTTGCCCCCCTGTGCTGTGCGAGCCGCAGGGCCTGCTCTACATGGGGCTGTGCAGGGTGGGCGGTGGTGCTGGCAGGACAGCTGCAGGTAGGGTGTATCGATGGTGGGCTTCCCCCCCGGGGCCGGAGCTGGCACAGCTGGTGCTTTGGGAGCCGCAGGGCCTGCTCTACAGTGCTGGCGGGGCGGCTGCAGGTGGGGGCGCGGCATGTAAGCATAATTACAATATAAAATTTTTTATTATACATTTATGATATTATAGTGTATTCTGTATTATTGTTGCAATGAATAAAATGTTTCTTTTATTTACGATATTTTTTCTTCAATTTATTTGTGTCCTTCTTTTCATTGTAAAAAAGTTGGTCACCTTATAATCTGTGTACAGAACTGAATTCACACAGTACACTGAATTGTGGACTGGTTTAACACACACACACACACACACACACACAAATCCCAAATTTAACAGGCAAATGAATGAGGGTACTAGAATTTTCATTGAACTGGTTAAACGTGTCACAGAAGGTCAGAGCCAGGGGGATTTAGAGGTCACCTACTCCACACCTCTCCTTGATATTCATACAAACATCTCCACTGTGTTTGGTTATGCCTTCATCCAGGTCTTTGTGCCCCCTAATAAATTGGGATTGGAGTTCCCAACCAGGATTCTAGGATTAGGAAAATTGAGGTTTATCTATTATTTATATTTCTGTACTTGATTGTTTTAAATTAAGTAATTCTTTTTTTTAACAGTATTATTCTTTAAAGGTTGTAAGCTTGTGAAAAGTTGTTCATAAACCTAATCAAATATCCGTCCTGTCTTTACATCATTGGCATCAATATATTGGCAAGGAAGAAAATTGTAATTAATTCTAAAATGCCTGGAGTCATTTAGGGGAGATGGGTGGTGTATGAGGAATAAATAAAAAAGGAACTATTGAGTTGTGATTCAGGGCTACCTTTTCAACATTACAATTTTTAAAAATTTCATTTTGAATTTATTGGCAAAACGTGTTGACGTTTGGGTTGAACCCAAGGCTGAACGGATGTCTTTTGCAGAGATTGCAATCCATGGTCAAAAACGTGGCCACTTTTAAGACTTGTGGCCTTCAACTCCCAAGATTCCCCCGCCAGCTGTGCTGTCTGAGGACTCCTGGGAGTTGAAGTCCACAATTCTTAAAGTGGCCATCTTTGGAGACCCCTCCGGTCCATGGGGACACGACTGAACGGCAACAACAATGGATTAAGCTCCGGAGTTTCCTCAGTCGCCTGGCCTCTGCCACCTAAATCCGCCAGCCTCGCCTCTTGAGCTCTGCGGCCTAGCAGCCCGGCGTCCTTCGACGCCCACCCCCCCCCCCCGCGAATGGAACCACAAAAGCTTCATTCCCACTGAGGGGGCGCGACCTCCTCCTCCTTCGTGGTCCCTCTAGGCTTCCAGACTCGCTTTCCTTAACCCTTGAGTGGAGACTCCAAAAGTCCCCCCCTTCTTTTTTAAAGGGCGCCTTCCAGCTGATATTTCTTCAACTGTTCCAGCCTGGGGGTGGGTGGGGAGAGCTACCAATAAAGGAGACTATTAATAAAGGAGAATATTTGTAGCTCAGGGTTGAAATGGGAGGGCCTTGGTGTTCTCTGAGCTCGCAGCTTGAGTTCTTGCAGACCTTTCATTAGCCAAACTAGGGAAGAACATCAGTGCTAGATTGCAACTAGCACTTGATGATGTTACCTAGTCAGGCGAAGGAAGGAAGGAAGGAGGGAGGGAGGGAGGGAGGGAGGGAGGGAAGGAAGGAAGGAAGGAAGGAAGGAAGGAAGGAAGGAAGGAAGGAAGGAAAAAAGAAAGAAAGAAAGAAAGAGAAAAAAAGAAAGAAAGAGAAAAAAAGGAGGGAAGGGAGGGGAAAAGAAGGAAGGAAGGAAGGGAGGGAGGGAGGGAAAAAGAAAGGAAGGAAGGAAGAAAAAGAAAGAAAGGAGGGAAGGGAGGAGAAAAGAAAGAAGGAAGAAAGAAAGAGAAAGGGAAGGGAGGGGGAAAAGAAAGGAAAGAAGGAAGGAAAAGAAAGAGAAAGGAAGGAAGGAAGGAAGGGAAGGGAGGAGAAAAAGAAGGAAGGAAGAAAGAAAGACAGAAAAAGAAAGGAGGGAAGGGAGGGGGAAAAGAAAGGAAAGAAGGAAAAGAAAGAAAGGGAAGGGAGGGGAAAAAGAAGGAAGGAAGAAAGAAAGAAAGAAAAAGAAAGGGAAGGGAGGGGGAAAAGAAAGAAAGGAAGGAAGGAAGAAAAAAAGAAAGAGGAGGGAAGGGAGGAGAAAAGAAAGGAAGGAAGGAAGAAAAAGAAAGAAAGGAAGGAAGGAAGAGAAAGGAAGGGAAGGGAGGGGAAAAAGAAGGAAGGAAGGAAGGAAGGAAGGAAGGAAGGAAGGGGAGAGAAAGGGGAAAAGAAGGAAAGAAGAAAGAAAGAAAAAGAAAGGAGGGAAGGGAGGGGAAAAAGAATGAAGGAAGGAAGGAAGAAAAGAAAGAAAGAAAGAAAGAAAGAAAGAAAGAAAGAAAGAAAGAAAGGTGGGAAACGAGGGGGGAAAAGAAAGGAAGGAAGAAAACGAAAGAAAGAAAAAGAAAGAAAGAAAGAAAGGAAGGAAGGAAGGAAGGAAGGAAGAGAGGGGAAAAAGGAAGGAAGAGGGGGAGGAGGAGGGAAGGGAAGAAGAGGAAGGAAGGAAGGATTTGCAGGGCGTGAGGATGGGAGCAGGAGTCCCCCCCACCCCCATCCACAGTAGAGTGCCGGGTGAGGGAAGGCGGCGTCCTCGCCTTTGCCGGCTATATCCCCGAGGAAGAGGCGGGGAAAGAAGCTCCTCCCGACTCTCCGGCCAGCGCAGGGTTAAAGGCAGCGAGGGGAGTCGCCCCGCCCCCTCCGTGGGAAAGGCAGCCCAGATTTTCCCACGCCTGGGAAGAGCGTTGCGCGCTTGGGGGGACCGGTCCGCGATCGAAAAACCGAGCACGGCTCCAGAGGGGATGATGATGATGATGTCGCTGGTGCGGGCCAGGTCTTCCCGTGGAGGGATGGAAAGGGCTGCGGGGGAGCCGATCAGGTGGGGGGGGGGGTGAAGGGGAGAGACCAGCCGGGCGCTTTTGCATCCGAGAGACAGAAAGGCCCCCGCGGGTGTCCCCCTTTCCCGGATTCTTGAGTGGGATCTCTGAAACGGGCCTCTTCTGGGAGGTCTGCGTTGTAAGCTCCGAGTAAACGTGGAGTAGGCAACTCGAGGTCCGTGCGGGTGTCGGAAAACATCCCAGGGAGGTGAAGCTGCTGCCTGTCCCTCCGGTTTCTCTCCGCCGCTTTAGGGTGAATTGCGACTTGCTATGTGTAGTTTCTAGATATATCGATGCAAAAGTGCCGGAAGTTGGAGGTCAGAAGAGGAAGTAAAGATCCAGGGTACGTTGCCATGGATCCAGTTCAGCTTGTTGTGCAAATACAACTTTGGAAAGGTTTGCTCAACTGCAGGACTTTGTGGATTGTGGATCAATCAATCAGAATAGAGCTGGAAGGGACCCTGGAGGTCTTCTAGTCCAGCCCCCTGCTCAAGCAGGAGACCCCAGAACAGGGGTAGGCAACCTTGGCTCTTTTATGACTCATAGACTTCAACTCCCAGAATTCCTGGCTCAATAGTACATGTAAACAATTTCACTTGTTATGGGAACCGTCTGCTTTTTCTCCACACTTGCTGCAGTGTCCTTGGAAAAATTTCAGGCTCTCACGGTCTTCAGTGGAATCGTAGAGGTTTCATTGCTCCATCTAACCCCGGGCTGGGCAACCTTGGCTCTTTTATGACTCGTGGACTTCAACTCCCAGAATTCCTAAGCCAGCCATGCTACCCCTGCCCTAGAACATTTCACACAAGGGATTCTCCAGCCTCTTAAAAACCTCCAGTGATGAACTGGCTCAGGAATTCTGGGAATTGAAGTCCAGGAGTCATAAAAGAGCCAAGGTTGTCTACCCCTGCCCTAGAACATTTCACACATTCCAGCCTCTTCTTAAAAACCTCCAGTGATGAAGCGCCCACAACTTCTGAAGGCAAAATCTGTTCCGCTGTGTAATTGTCCCTCACTGTTAGGAAGTTTCTCCTTAATTCCAGGTTGGCTTCTCTCCTTGATTAGTTTCCATCCGTTGTTTCTTGCCTCGCCTTCTGGTGCTTTGGAACTTAAGTTGTGCCTACTTCTATGATCAGAAAGGAAGTCTGCTTGCTTTCAGGCTCTGGCAATCTTCGAAGAGGTGGCGGTGCATTTTACAGAAGACGAGTGGATGTTGCTGAATGCAGATCAAAGAGTTTTACACCGAGAAGTCCTAGAGGAGATTTGGAAGACGCTGGCTTCCTTGGGTAAGGATCCTTTTCTCCTGTACTTGATTTTAAGGATCCCTAAGCTAGACATTGTACCTTGCAAGAGACTGTTATTTCTGTATTTCACCTTTACATCCTCGTAGAAAAACATAATATAACAGAATAACAAAGTTGGAAGGGACCTTGGAGGTCATCTAGTCCAACCCCCTGCTCAGGCAGGAAAACCTATCCCATTTCATCATCATCATCATGGAAGGGACCTTGGAGGTCATCTAGTCCAACCCCCTGCTCAGGCAGGAAACCGTATACCATTTCAGACAAATGGCTGTCCAGTCTTTTCTTCAAAACTTCCAGTGTTGGAGCATTCACCGCTTCTGGAGGCAGGTTGTTCCACTGGTTAATTGTTCTAACTGTCATCTGGGTGTTTACTGAAGATCATGGCTAGGTTAAAACATGATGGCCTTGTACAGGTAGCCCTTGACTTACAAGGGTTCCTTCAGTGAGCATTCAAAGTTATGACTCTTTTTCACACTTATGACCCTTGCAGCATCCCCGTGGTCATGTGATCAAAATTCAGACGCTTGGCAACTGGTTCTTATTTATGATGGTTGCAGTGTTCCCGGGGGGTCACGTGATCCCCTTTTGCGACCTTGTGATAGGCCACGTCAATGGGGAAGCCAGATCCATTTAACAACCGTGTTACTAACTTTACAACTGCAGGGATTCAGTTAGCAACCCTGGCAACAAGTTCACTGAACAACTCTCTGACTTAGCAATGTACGTTTTGTGTTCAATTGTGGTCTTAAGTCGAGGACTACCCGTACAGGAACCAACCACGGGCAGCCAGGTGTTTCCGCTGCCCTTCAGATGCAAAAGGAATTGTATCAGTTTGGACAATTTGGCGGACGGCAAAGACCGTTTTAAGTCAGACAAATAAACAAGGCATCGTGCTAGGGAATACATGATGGAAGAGAGACATCGCCCGTGTACCGGTGGAAGAGAGAAGTGTTTCTCAAGCCCATTGCACGTCAGGAATAATTGACACCATTCATCTCGGGGTGAGTTTGGAGGGGAGGGGGTCTGCTGCCGCCCCCCAAAAAGAAAGGAAAAGCCAAGCATAAAATCGGAGAACATAAAGAATGATCAGCAAATCTTCCTTTGCTGCTCCCTTCCTCCTCCTCCTCCTCCTTCTTCTTTCTTCTTCTCTTCTTCTTCCTGTTCTTCTCTTCTTCTTTCTTCTTCCTCCTCCTCCTTTCCTCCTCCTCCTCCTCCTTCTTCTTTTCTTCTTCCTCTTCTCCTCCTTTTCCTTCTCCTTCTCCTCCTCCTCCTTCTTCTTCTTCTCCTCCTCCTTCTTCTTTCTTCTTCTCTTCTTCTTCCTCTTCTCTTCTTCTTTCTTCTTCCTTCTCCTTTCCTGCTCCTCCTCCTCCTTCTTCTTCTCTTCTTCCTGTTCTCCTTCTTCTCCTTCTTCTTCTTCTCCTCCTCCTCCTCCTTCTTCTTCTCTTCTTCCTGTTCTCCTTCTCCTCCTTCTCCTTCTTCTTCTTTTCCTCCTCCTCCTCCTCCTTCTTCTTCTCTTCTTCTTCCTGTTCTTCTCTTCTTCTTTCTTCTTCCTTCTCCTTTCCTGCTCCTCCTCCTCCTTCTTCTTCTCTTCTTCCTGTTCTCCTCCTCTCCTCCTCCTCCTCCTCCTCCTCCTCCTCCTCCTCCTCCTCCTCCTCCTCCTCCTCCTCCTCCTCCTCCTCCTCCTCCTTCGTCCTGTTCTTTCTGTTGTAGAAATAAGAGACCAGAGCCAGCTCTTTGGGGAAGGGAAGGTTTATTGCGCAGGTTCAGAGAGCTAAACATAGCAAAGGGTCTGAACCCCTAAAAGGGGTTCCATAGGACATATTTATGCCCTTTCAATACGTATACATTTCCTGACCACATAGTATTCCTTCCATGGTTATATTCTGTATATCCTTATGTCAGCATAGGGAAGAATACCAGACAGTTATAGCAGAACACGTGCATTAGCACAAACAGGATCTGGTTCAAACAGAGGATGGCTAAATTGGTCAGCAGCTGCAGAACAGGAAACCTTCTGAAGACACAGCATTTTCAGAGCATCAGTATTTTTCCACTCTTCCTCCTCTTCTTCTTCTTCCTCCTTTCCTCCTCCTCCTTCTTCTTGTCCAGTCTTGTGTTGGAGCACCCACTTTTGGAGGCAAGTTGTTCTAAATGTCAGGAAATTTCTCCTTAGTTCTAGGTTGGGTCTCTCCTTGATTAGTTTCCATCCGTTGCTTTTGGTCCTGCTTTCAGATGCTTTGGGGCAACTCCCTCAAATACTGGAACACTGCTGTCATGTCCCCCCTCGTCCTTCTCTTCATTAAACTAGACATACCCAATTCCAGCAAACTTTCTTCATATGTTTTAGCCTCCAGTCCCCTGATCATCTTTGTTGCTCTTCTCTGTACTCTTTCTGGAATCTCAATATATAAATTAGGATTGACTGCCGACGGGATTTTAAAAAATGGTGGCTGCAATCATATGATCACAGCCCTTTCCATGCAATGATAACAGTATTCCAATATTTGAGAGGCTACCACAAAGAAGAGGTAGGTCAACGTATTCTCCAAAGCGCCTGAAGGCAGGACAAGAAGCAACGGATGGAAATTAATCAAGGAGAGAAGCAACGTAGAACTGAGGAGAAACTTCCTAACAGCAAGGACAATTAACCAGTGGAACAGCTTGCCATCAGAAGTTGTGGGTGCTTCATCACTGGAGGTTTTAAAGAAGAGACTGGACAGCCATTTGTCTGAAATTGGATAGGATCCCTTGCTTGAGCAAAGGGCTGGACTAGAAGACCTCCAAGATCCCTTCCAGCTCTATTCTAATTCAGATTCTAATGTATGAAAAGAAGGGGGTGGAATTGGTTTGCATATTTCTTCAGAAAGAATCATATGTAATTTTTTTTTCTGTGCTCAGGTGTATGCATTCCAAGAATCAAATTTGTGCCTTTGAAACAATGATCACAGTTACGGATATTGGCATCAGCATGCATTGATGTCATTTGTGCATGCTGATTATTTTAATTTGGTTGGTTATAACAGCAAAAGGGCACTTGATTAGATAGAGACCAGATTGTACTACTGGGTAAGGTATAGCATTTCATGCGATGGACAGGGTTTGACATAATTGATCGGGTTAACCCAGAGATGGGAAGATCTGGAAAAAAAACTCAGGTAAAAAAACCAGGGCCTTTCCCCATCTTTTCCCCCAAAGCTGTTTTTTCCTGCAAAAATTGAAAAAAAAAAGGAGTATGGAATATGTTCTTTTCCAATGATAAATGTATTTATTTATTTATTTATGAGACTTATATACCACTTTAAGTGCAAGCACTCTCTAAGCGGTATACACCAGTAAGCAATGTATATATATATTTACATTGCCCCCAACAATCTGGGTCCTCATTTTACCTACCCTGGAAGGATGGAAGGCTGAGTCAACCTTGAGCCGGTGAGATTTGAACCTGCTGGCCTGCTGAACACAGTCAGCTAAGTGGCCTGCAGTACTGCACTCTAACTGCTGGGCTACCTCGGCTCATAAATAACATAACTATGACATGGTATTCAAACTATATAACATGAAGACCTGAATGAAAGATTTCTGAGATGTTTTGTGAACTTTTTAATAAATGCAAGTTCTCTTAGCTCAGTGGTAGGCAACCTTGGCTCTTTTATGACTGGTGGACTTGAACTCCCAGAATTCCTGAGCCAGCCATGCTGAGGGGAAAGGGAGAGGTTTCCAAGCTGAACCATAGTGGCTCAGGGATTCTGGGAGCTGAAATCCACCAGTCATAAAGCGGCCTAGGCCTAGGCCAGAGGTAGGCAACCTTGGCTCTTTTATGACTGGTGGACTTCAACTCCCAGAATTCCTGAGCCAGCCATGCTGAGGGGAAAGGGAGAGGTTTCTAAGCTGAGCCATGGTGGCTCAGGAATTCTGGGAGTTGAAGTCCACGAGTCATAAAAGAGCCTAGGTTGCCTACCCCTGTCTTAGCTGTCTTAGATGAAGACAAGCAAATCCTGGAATACAATTTAAGTCACAGAACACTGCACTTCCCAATGCAGTTCTCAAACAAGAGAAATAGGCATTTGGGCCACTAGGGGGAACTGTAGGGAAAAGGCTATAGTTTAGTTTGCCTGTTGATCCTTTCTTGTTTGTTTGTTTTTGCTTGCTTTTGAGTGAGAGGAGGGTGGTTACCTGTTTTATTGCAAGCTTAATACTTTTATATACACTGCTTTTCATGCAATTTGTAAAACTACTCCACACTGAACTTTTTGTTTTCAATTTGTCCAAAATTTCCATTTTTGTCCTCCCCTCCCAAAAGAAAAAAAAAAACACATTTTTTTTTTCCTCACAGCTTCAACCTTTTTGGAAATTTTACATCTCTAGTTCACCCTTGTTAAATTGTGTAATGGGGTTATAGAGCAGTGTTTCTTAACCTTGACAATTTTAAGGCATGTGGACTTCAACTCCCAGAATTCCACAGCCAGCATTGCTGGCTGTGGAATTCTGGAAGTTGAAGTCCACATGCCTTAAAATGGTCAAGGTTGAGAAACACTGCTGTAGAGAATGCAGTGATACTCCCAGTTGGTCCTTGACATACGACCTTCATGTTGTTGTTGTTAGTTGCAAAGTCGTGCCCGACCCATTGCGACCCTATGGACAACGTTCCTCCACGCCTTCCTGTCCTCTACCATCTTCTGGAGTCCATTTAAGCTCACGCCTGCTGCTTCAGTGACTCCATCCAACCACCCCGTTCTCTGTCGTCCCCTTCTTCTATTGCCCTCAATCTTTCCCAGCATCAGGCTCTTCTCCAGTGAGTCCTTCCTTCTCATTAGGTGGCCAAAGTATTTGAGTTTCAACTTCAGGATCTGGCCTTCTTTTTTTTTAATTTTTATTTTAAATCAACAAAACAAAACAAAACATAACACACATACACACACAGTATATACTCCTTCCCTTTTTTTAACAGCAATTTTGTAACGGTAATCTTCTATTATTTACATTTCCCCCCCCTTAGTCTTCTTTAGAATATTTGTCCTTGTTGCCCCGTTGTTTCTTATTTGCATTTTTCTTCCTTCATACTATACTTCATACTAAGAATAATACATATTATTATTGTTGTTGTTGTTAATTGCGAAGTCGTGTCCGACCCATCGCGACCCCATGGACAATGTTCCTCCAGGTCTTCCTGTCCTCTACCATCTTCATATTATTATTACTATACATTATTATACACACATTTTCCACTTTTGACCTTTCCACATTTATTCTCCTCTATTATTTCTAGTCTCCAACCAGTCATACCACTTGTTCCATATTAGATAGTACTCTGTGTCTTCCTTTTCTTTTATCTCTTTTGTTAATTTGTCCTTCTCAGTCCAGGATTTTTCTTATCACTTCTTCCTCTGATGGTATATTCTCATTTTTCCAGAACTGTGCGTATGCTATTCTTGCTGCCGTTGTTATATGTAAAATTAAGTACCGTATTTCTTTACTATATTTTCTGTTTAAAATACCCAGCAAAAAGATCTCTGGTTTTCAGTCTTCGGGTTGGTCTATTATTTCTTCGATCCATCTTCTTATTGTAATCCAGTATTTTTTCGCAACTGGGCATGTCCACCATAAATGATAATATGTTCCATGTACTTTTTTACATTTCCAACATGTTGGCGAATTGTTCTGGAACATGTTGGCAAGCTTTGCTGGTGGAAGATGTAAAACGTCTTAAACTGGTTTTCCTTGAATGCCGCTGACATAGTCAATTTTATGTGTCAAGACTGCTAACATCAGATGTTCTTGCTTGCCATATATGAAGAAGCAAGCCTGTTTCTTATTTAGCCTGTATAGTATTTTTAGAGTTAAAGCAGATAATACTAGTAATGGATGGGAAAATATGCAGCTACCCATAACAATATCTGAGCACAGTATTGCCGGGAGAGGTACTTCACCCTTCACATTAATTGGAGAATGTGATTGATGATTGCAGAATGAGGGTGTGAATTATGCTTTGTTATGGGTGATTGGGGGAGGGAAGATTCAGTTTTTGGCTTAACTTTCGTGTGCCAAAGCTATGCAGAAATAAAAGGATTCTTTAAGGTAAATAAGCCCCAAAGTTCTTTGAAAAGCTGCTTCTTTTCGGAACCATGTCATTATGTTTATTTCCCATATTTTTTCCCATTTCTCTAATTCTATATTATATCTGAATTTTTTTTGAGGATCTGGCCTTCTCAAGAGCAGTCGGGGTTGATCTCCTCTAGGACTGACTGGTTTGAACGCCTTGCATCCAGGGGACTCGCAGGAGTCTTCTCCAGCACCATGTAGGAACTGTCAAAGCTGTTACTGAACTGAAGGAATGGTAGTTAGAACTTGTTCCCAGAGTTCTGACTGTCCTGTCAACCTCACAGTCGCCTGATGGGCAATCTGGGGGCTTGGCAATCCGTTCACACCCATTCACGGTGCCTTGTGATCAATAATCGACATTTGCAACTTTCTTCCAAACATGTTTTTTTTCAGGAGACAATTGCACTTTCTTGTTTTTCTTGGAAGGCATTTCACTTCTCATCCAAGAAGCTTCTTTAGTTCTGACTGGATGGTGGGGAATGGGAGGATTTATATACCTTTTTGTTTGTTCCCTTCCTGCTTTTACCACTCAAGAGCTAGAAATGCATAGCACTTTTTATAAACGTATCACCTTTTTTATATACATAGTCATGTATTTCCTTTGATTTTCTGTCAAAGAAATACTTCTGGCTCTGGGATCGGACCAGATCTCCAGGATAGACGAAGATTTGCCAGCTGAAGGCTTCAAGGAAGAAGAAGACAATTTTAGAGGCAATTTATCCGTTGGTCAGTGGGATACTGGTCAATCAGGTCAATCAGGTAACTTGGGTGGGGAGGTGTAAGATTTTGGGGGGAGGCTTGGAAAAAAATGGATGAGACATTCGATATAAACAATCAGGAGCTGGAACGAATCACAGTTCATAGTTTGTCTCATAAACAGCAACTCAGCTTAGGTGGTAAGAAATCTGGGCAGAAACATTTGCCATCCTTCAAAGAGATTCAGCCTGAATTAACTCATCACAACCAGGCTGGGAAAAATTGTTCTTGCAATTTCCGAGGTGTTATTTTATTCCAAGACTAGTCGAAAGAGGATCTTACTGAAATCTGTGACATTCTTGCCCAGTTGCAAAATCAGTTGGCGTGTGTGGTGACCTGCATACACACACATACACATACAATGAGGTGCAGTGGCTCAGTGGTTTAAAACGCCTGTGCTCCAGCAGTCCGAGTCCTAGCACGGCGTGATGGGGTGAGCTCCCGTCACTTGCCTCGAATTCTGCCAACCTAGCAATTTGAAAGCCTGCTGGGTACAAGTAGATAAATAGGTATCACTTCGGTAGGAAAAAATAATGGTGCTTCGTGCAGAAGTACGAACTCAATCGGTGCTAGACCTACTCGAATGTGATGCCTGAACGTGAAGCGACATCAGTGGAGAGAAAAAGCCCTGAATGATGCTGCAGAACACTTATGAGCCATTCTGAGTGCGGAGATGGTTCACCCCACTGGTGCACTTCTGGATAGTGCACAAATACGAACCAAATAGACTAGCAGTCTTAAGCAACCAAGAAACAACTTCGTATTAACACTATAATTTCCTGGCTATTATACCATTGCCATACACTAACTAACTAACTAACTAACTAACTAACTAACTAACTAACTAACTAACTAACCAACCAACCAACCAACCAACCAACACATACATACATACATACATACATACATACATACATACATTGTTGTTGTTAGTTGCAAAGTCGTGTCCGATCCATCACGACCCCATGGACAACTTTCCTCCATGCCTTCCTGTCCTCTACCATCTTCTGGAGTCCATTTAAGCTCACGCCTACTGCTTCAGTGACTCCATCCAGCCACCTCATTCTCTGTTGTCCCCTTCTTCTCTTGCCCTCAGTCTTTCCTAGCATCAGGCTCTTCTCCAGTGAGTCCTTCCTTCTCATTAGGTGGCCAAAGTATTTGAGTTTCAACTTCAAGATCTGGCCTTCTAAAGAGCAGTCAGGGTAGATCTCCTCCAAGACTGACCGGTTTGATCGCCTTGCAGTCCAGGGGACTCCCAGAGTCTTCTCTAGCACCAGAGTTCGAAGGCCTCAATTCTTTGGCGCTCAGCCTTTCTTATGGTCCAACTTTCACAGCCATACATTGCAACTGGGAAAACCATGGCCTTGACTATATGCACTTTTGTTGGCAGAGTGATGTCTCTGCTTTTTAGTATGCTGTCTAGATTTTCCATAGCTTTCCTCCCCAGGAGCAAGCGTCTTTTAATTTCTTGGCTGCAGTCCCCATCTGTGGTGATCTTGGAGCCCAGGAAAATAAAATCTGTCACTACCTTCATTTCTTCCCCATCTATTTGCCAGGAATTGAGAGGGCCGGATGCCATGATCTTGGTTTTCATAATGTTGAGTTTCAAGGAAACACAGTACATATATACATACATACACCTGACAAGTTTTATCCTTGGCTTACTGGATAGCAGTTAGTGGCAACATGTAGAACCTAATGTTCAGTATCGTAAATGCCGGCGTATAAGGCGACTTCCGCGAGCGCTGAAATCGGCGCCAAAGACGGCGGTCGTCTTATACGCCGTGTCGTCTTATACACCGGAAATACTGGTAGTTTCCGGCGTATAAGACAACGTTCTAGGAATGCGGCCCGGCTATAAAGACGGGAGTCGTCTTATACGCCGGGTCGCCTTGTACGCCGGCATTTACGGTACTTATTTCTCTTTGTCTCCTGTTTGTCTCGTCTGCAGTTCACCCCGAATTTCTTTCTCCATTGGTGTCTTTCTCTTTTTGTTCTTGTAGGTGACGAAAAAGAGAATACTACGAATAGTGCAGAGCAGAGCAGAGAAACTCTGCCATATCAGACAAGAAGAAAAAGACCCATTTCACCTGAAACAGTGAGCTTTAATGAATTCCAGGTGCAGCAAGGAGGTTGTGCGGGAAAGAGAGACAATCAAGATCTGGCCGGAAAGACTGGGGAATTCACCTCTTCTGGTGGAAAGCTATTGGCTGAGATCTCCAGTCCTGCAACCCCAAGCAAAGTCCTGGAATCGGAGAGGCTGTGCAAGTGTTTGGAGTGCGGGAAGGGTTTCAAAGACAAGATGCACCTCATGGTACATCAGCGAATCCACACAGGGGAGAAGCCATTTCAGTGCTCGGACTGCCGAAAGAGCTTCAGTCGGAGTCATCACCTGATTGGCCATCAGAGGACCCACTCAGGAGAGAAGCCATTTAAATGTCCTGAGTGCGGGAAGCGCTTCATTGATAACAGCAACCTCACCAAACATAAACGAATCCACACGGTCGAGAAGCCATTTAAGTGCACAGAGTGTGGAAAGAGCTTCAACCACAGTAGCACCCTCTCCTCCCACCGAAGGATCCATACGGGGGAGAAACCGTACATGTGTGCCGATTGCGGGAGACGTTTCAGCCAGTGGACAAACCTGAACGCGCATCAGCGGCTACATACGGAGGAGAAACCCTACAAATGCTCGGAATGTGGAAAGGGCTTCTGTCAGAGTAGCAGTCTGTCTTATCATCAGAGAACTCATGCGGGGGAAAAGCCATATAAGTGCTCTCAGTGTGAAAAGACTTTCACGTGTACCAGCACCCTTGTATTACACCAGAGGATCCATACTGGGGAGAAACCGTTCGCTTGCTCGGAATGTGGTAAGAGCTTCACTCAGCGGATACACCTAACTCGACACCAGAGAATCCACACTGGAGAAAAACCATACGAGTGCCCAGACTGTGGGAAACACTTCAGGCAGTGGACAAGTCTAATGACTCATCAGAAAGGGCATACGTTGGAAAAACCATACATATGTTTAGAGTGCGGCAAGAATTTCTCTCAGAATAGTGGTCTGTTGTATCATCAGAAATCTCACGCGGATGAAAAGCCGTATAAGTGCTCCGAGTGTACTAAAAGCTTTGCTTATAGCAGTACTCTCACTTTACACCTGAGAATCCATTCTGGGGAGAAGCCATTTGCTTGCACTGAGTGTGGAAAGAACTTTACTCAACGGATGCACCTGACTCGACATCAGAGGATCCACACGGGGGAGAAACCTTATATCTGCTCGGAGTGTGGGAAAAACTTCCGGCAATGGACTCACCTTATTGCTCACCAGCGGGTTCACAGAGGAGAAAAACCATGCAAATCAGAGGGTCAGTTTCTGGTCAGTTACAACCCGCAACATCCCTCCTCATTTCCCGTGGTAGCAGGAATTGGTGGCATTGATAATGCAGCTTCAACTACTGAGCCACCAGTTCCCTGGCCGTGACAGCAGTTGGATTTTTCAGTAGAGAATTGGCACTTAAATTCCATGCTCAGTTAGTTTCTGGAACTGGGGAACTGTTCGTTCAAACCAATATTTCTACCCCCTTTTTTAATGTTTTGAATTTTATAGATGGCAAGGAAAGAATCCATAGGCCATCAGAAACCAGTCTGGAATGAGATAGTTCCATTTTACATGAACTACAATCTCAATCATCTCCAAGGCTGATCCAGTGAATAGTGTCAGTTTACAAATGTGTTTTACAGGTAATCCTCAACTTACAACCCCAATTGAGCCCAAATTTCCGTTGCTAAGGAAGACAATTGTGAAATGAGTTTTGCCCCATTTTACAACTTTTCTTGCCACCGATGTTAAGTGAACCACTGCAGTTCTTAATATGGTTGTTAAATGATCTGGCTTTTTCATTGACTTTGTTTGTTGGATAAGTTGCAAAAGGGGATCACATGACTCCAGGTGACTGCAACTGTCATAAATATGATGTAGGAGATGACCAGGATGAGCCCACGGGAGGAGTCAAACATGTCATAAGTCTCGAGTTCCTGCATGCCTGCAAAAGATCTAAACCCAGCCTGCCCTGAATGCTTTTCTTATCTCACACTCATTTCTCTTGACCGTTAGTTGGTCAGATTCTTGTAGAGAACTTAAGCTTATACTCATTTGAACTACCTGAATCTTCTGCTTTCCCCAGCATTTGACATATGAGCCAGTTACCAAGCATCCAAATTTTAGTCATGTAACTATGGGTTGTAAGTGGAAAATGGTCATAAGTCACTTTTTTTCAGTGCCATTGTGACTTTGAACGGTCACTAAACAAATGGTTATAAGTCAAGGGTTACCTATAGTCTAGAGGTACAGTTGCTAGGACATGGGGTACCAAAGGACAGCTATACAGTTGCCTACAATATAGTACAATCTTCAATGAGTAGTAGGAGTATTTTATTACAAGTGGTACTTACCACATAAATTTCACCAGTAATAATAAAAAATAATTTATCTGCTTGGATTTCTGTATTTTATAACCATAAATATCAGCTCAGATAACCTTTATTGTCATTTTTTACTGTGGGCACACTGGCGCATTAAAAAATGAAATTCTGTTGCTTGCTCTCAAAAATGTACACATACATAACACACATAAACATGCTATATACAATAAATATGCAAATGTTTTAAATTTAAACTGCTTTAAATTCAGAACGATCTTTCACTTTTTTACGGCCTGTTTGGAGCAAAAACAGCTTGTTGCAAGATTCAGGCAGACCATTTTGGAAACACATATTTTGCACACAGAGCAGGGCCTGAAGTTCAGAGTTGATCCATTTTTATTTTTGAAAGAATGATTTCATGCTTGAAATACATCAAATTCAAGCTTGCTCAAATCCGAAACATTTTGCATGTCTGTAATTCCTCCTATGATGTCAGTATGAAAACTCTGGATTGTTCCCTGACAAATGATTGAACAACCATTTGTTTGAAGTGATATAGGGCAGGGGTCCCCAATCCCCAGTCCATGGACCAGTACTGGGCTGTGGCATGCCAGCAACCGTTCTGTACAAACAAGCAAAGCCCCATTCATGAGATGCAGGCAGCACACAAAACTACGTACCCTCCAGTCCGTGGAAAAACCTCTCTCCATGGAACCGGTCCCTGGTGCCCAAAAGGTTGGGGACCTCTGATATAGGGTTTCCTGCTTGTGCTGGGGGTTGTACTAGAACAGAGTTTCCCAACCTTTCTGGATTGGTGGCCTGGAGGGGAGGAGGGAAAGAGGGGATGGTTTTGTGGGAGGGGCAGGTGTGTGCATTCGTGCATGTGTATGTACCTGTTGCTCGCATGAGTGGGTCAGAGAGCACCTATGATGCTCATGTGAGTGGGGCTACAAGTGCCCGAGATGCTCAGTGAGTGGGGCTGTGCATAAGCACACACATGCACCAGCCAGCCACTCACGGGGCCCGGTTGTGAATAGGCCACAGACCAGTAGTGGGCCATGGCCCACAGGTTGGGGACCTCTGTACTTAAAAACCTTCAAAGTCTCTTCCAACTCTGTTATTCTGTATTCTCTTCAACCAACTTAAAAATTAGGATGAACATGCTGTAGTTGAGATGTGCTTAACTTGTGTTTTATTTGTTTTCTTTAATTTCTGTGTAGTTAACACAGTTGTCTTGAGAGTTATTTGGAATTCTTTGTTTCTTCCCCATCTCCTGTCTTTGTGATCTCCTGTCCAAGGATGTATAATAGAGAATATGAAAGTTTGCTGATTGTGTAGTGTTGTTTTGCCCTATCCGAGACAAGAGTTTGTTTTTCTATGGATATCGATTGTAATAAATACATTGGTCTTCACTGTGCCACATGCTTTCTTTCTTTCCTTGTTTTTTTCCTTCTTTCCACATGCTTTCATGCTTTCCTTTCTTTCCAGAGGGAGTGTGAGTTCTTCAGACTAGGAATCCAATATCAGGTAGATTTTATATCATGTGGCCCAACAGAATACAGCATGAGTGCCTAAAATTCACAAAAACAGCATGTAAAATGGATATCAAAATATAAACCACCAATACAGTGAATTATTTTAAAAATGCACAATACAAATGATGAATACAATTATGAATAAAATTAAATTATGTGCAAGTGGTTACTAGAGTGGCTAAGCCTATAGCCGAGTATCTAGTTCACCTTTAAGGTGATGTAGTTCTTCCAGAGATCGAGGGAACCTTCTGAGGTGGGATTCCATCACAATATGATGTAAAGATTGCGGGAAGTTCCCACAAGTCATAGTTGGAATTATTGACCAGTTCCCATTTGTATTTCCAGAATTGGCACCTGCCATGCTTAGTTTGGATCTGGTTGAGTGGAACTAATTGTGATTTACCTGATGTTCATGATATTCAAGAAGAAGCAATATGAAAATCAGGTAAATCTCAACTATTTTTTATTGTAATGTAGCACTACCCCTGAAAGGTCTGCTAAAGTCCAGATTCCTCTACCCCCTTTCTACAGGTACTCAGGCTACACAGTCAGTCACCAGGTGTCTCAATATCCGTTGTTCTGGAAGTAAGTCCTCTTGGATCTCTCACCCAGGTATCTCCCCTCGCTCAACTCAGGTTACCGCCATTTTCTGTTGGGGTGTATGGCACCCTTCTGATCACTGGCTTGCCCACTCGCCTGGTCAGTTTGCTTCTGTCGTGTCTGGTGCACCCTCTAATCATTAGCTTGCCACTTGTCTGGGTCAGCTCATCTCCACTGTCTGCTGGTATGTCTGGTGCCCTCTCTGGTCATTGGCTTGCCCAGTTGCCTCAGTGACTTCATCTCCATTGTGTGTGGTGCCCCCTCTGGTCACTGGCTTGCCCATTCACCTGGGTCAGTTTGCCTCTGTTGCATCTGGTGCCCCCTCTGGTCATTGGCTCGCACACTCATCTGGGTCAGCTTGCCTCTGCTGTCTCCTCTCCTTTCAGGATTCCAGCCCACTCGCCTCAAAAGTCTTCCCGCCAAAAGCTGACAAAACCCCTTTCTCTCCTTTCCCTGCCTCTTCTTCCCTCAGCCAAATAGCTCCAGGGCTATTCTAACTCCTCAATTTCTAACCTTGTCTGAGATAAATGCCTCACCATCAACTTTCAGGATTCCAGCCAAACCCCCTCACCAAAAATCATCCCAGCAAAATTCTGGCAGAACCCCTTCTCTCCCTGCTTCTTCCTCTGTGGAAGCTCAAGGGCTACAGGCCTAAATATGCTTCTCTCTCCCTCCCTCCCTTGAGGGGGAGGTTTGTCTTAAATGCCGTACTTTCCGGTGTATAAGACGACTTTTGAGAGCGCTGAAATCGGTGCCGAACTCGGGGGTCGTCTTATACGCCGAGTCGTCTTGTATGCCGGAAATAACGGTAGTTTCTGGCGTATAAGATGACTTTCTAGGCATGCAACTCAGCGTCGAAATCAGGGGTCGTCTTATACGCCGGGTCGTCCTATACGCCAGAATATACGGTACTTATTCACATTGACTGCTTGCCCTGGGCTCAGACGTCTTGTCTGACCGTTTTTCTTGTTAGTCTGTCTGCCCTCTATGGAAAACAAAGGTATGCACTTGTTGGGAGAGTCTCTTGGGGCCCTTCAACTCTTTGAGGAAAAGGTGACAGAATACTGGAAAATGGTCTACATGGGCAGCCCTGTGTATGGACCACTGTAGTAGCCTAGATCTACAGTATAATTGTTAGGATAGTGACTGTTTCTAACCAAGTAGTTCAACAGGTTACGCAATAGCCTGATATGGTTATTACTACACACTACAACAGAGGAGGCAGCTTGTCGGTCTATACTACAACACTACAAATTTTAGAAGCAGCATGACCCCTTCCAGAATGGTTTGAATGCCATTCACCCAGAGAAGGAAATTGTTCCTTACAAGGTCTGTTTTGCCTGGTTTGAACTTGTATATTTTGGCCATCCTCCAGCACAGATCCACAAATTCCTGACAGACTTTTCACGAAGCACAGTGGTAAATCTCAACTCCGAGTCCCAAGTCTCAGGGGTTGCCACAAAGAAGAGGGAGTCAAGCTATTCTCCAAAGCACCTCAGGGCAGGACAAGAAACAATGGATGGAAACTAACCAAGGAAAGAAGCAACCTGGAACTAAGAAGAAATTTCGTGACAGAACAATTAACCAGTGGAACAACCTGCCTCCAGAAGCTGCGAAAGCTCCAACACTGGAAGTTTTTAAGAAGAGACTGGACAACTATTTATCTGAAATGGTATAGGGTAGTGGTGGCGAACTTATGGCACAGGTGCCAGAAGCGGTACTCAGAGCCCTCTCTTTGGGCATGCACGCTGTTGCCCCAGTCCTAGGCCTTCAGCTGGGTTTTATAAAACCTTTTCGCTTTAGGCTTCTGCCGCTGTATACAAAAAAAAAAAAAAGGTTCAATCAGTCAATTTCAACTTCTCGCAGGAAAAAAAAGATCTTGCAAAGTTGGAATTGATTGATTGAATTTTTTAGTCCCACTCAGTCTGCTGTGACCACTGTAGCCACGCCCATCCAATGGGCCACACCCACCCAATGAGCCACACCAACCCGGCACACGACGATGCATAAGTGGGTTTTGGGTTGCAGTTTGGGCACTCGGTCTCTAAAAGGTTCATCATCACTGGTATAGGGTTTCCTGCCTGAGCAGAGGGTTGGACTAGATGACCTCCAAGGTCCCTTCCAACTTTATTATTATTATTATTATTGTTGTTGTTATCATTATTATTATTATTAAGTTCAGTAGCCGCTACAGACAAGAAACTTAGTGTCACAACAACATAAACACACTAGTTGCTTTAATGCAGTGAGAGAACTGTGCATTCAAAGAGGATTCGCCAATAGCAGGATATCCATGTACAGGTA